ATGCATAGGCAAGGGTCGCACTAAGTTGCAAAAAAAAAAAAAAAAATCTAACGCGCAAATTTTACAAAAGGTGTGAAATTGCGTCGTACATGAATTTTCATGTTAGTTTCCGTAAGCGGGAGAAGAATCATTTTCACATCGTTTACTTATTATAATTTCAATGATTTACACGTCTATCCTATCTGTCCATATAGTTATAAACAGTAACGACCCATCTTTGACAATAATAATCGATGTTCAGGAGACTAATTCTGTTCGGTATAATTTCCATATATGCGCAGATTTAAAAAGAAAAAGAAAAACAGAACAAAAATCCAAATTTGTGACATTGACAGGTCACTTATTTTTTTTCTTCTCTCTCTTGCTTTCTATTTCTCTGTAACATACTTTTTCAAAAATTGAGGGGGGCTCGAGCCCCCGAGCCCAGCCGTTCTGCAGTCCCCGACATGAAGGCTTCTAAATAGGCATATTTTTCGCCCAACTGTAATTTTGGGAATTTCTAATTTTCCAACAAACGCATAAAAAAGGAATGACTTACAACAAAATTGAGAAAAAATATTGAAAAATCATTTCATTTCAGCAACATTTGTAAATCACTGGTATCGAATAAGAATACACGTGAATAATGGAAGCTGAATAAAGTACCATGCTGAGTTCAATCTTGATTCATCTGCTTGTCTTATTTGAGTTATCTCACATACACATTTAACAGTAGCAACCATGTTAGTAGTCCCCTCCTCCCTATCAGTACGACAGCGTTCAGGGGCTCATGTATTCTCACCCTTATAACAAAAATACACACACGCTTTCCCATCCTCTCACAATTTTTCCACGATATGCGCCTCCATTGATAAATACAGGTAGCATGCATGTTTGGGAAATTTAATTCCTGTTATTGTTAACTTTCCTTTTCTTAGAATGGAATTTTACATGTGATTTACTTCAGGTTTTTATTATTGTTATGTTCTTATATGTTCAACATATAAAACATCTTTACTACTTTACTGCTTTTTTACGGGAGGGGAGCGTTTTTTTTTGGGGGGGGGGGGGGCAGAAAATGCGTTTTGCCCACACTTTTATGATTGTGGGCGAATGCCTATGGTCACAACATCAAAATATCACGAACCATGCAGACTAATAATTATTACCCAACAAAAATTATCACTTATAACACAAGGTATTACAATGAATAAATGTGACTATTATTGATATTACCTGCTCGTACGGTCGTAGATCCTGTTTGTGAAAGCTTTCTTACGAGCAATGAAGTTTCACGTGGTCTTTTGTTTATTAGAGTGTTTACGTAGAATTATTGCGCTCTCCCAAGTCAAGCACGTGTTTCGTGATTGGTGATGTTCCATGGCAACGAACGAAACCACGTCTGTTCATTGCAATAAGCGCATGATATCTCTAAGGCTCAGAAATGTCAAGACTATTTTGTTTTCTTTGTGATTGTTTTTCAAAAGGCGTTGTGTAGAGTTGTGTGGGATCTGAACGAGGTTGTGTATTGCATGAACCAGGCTTGGTTCATGTGGTGCACAGCTTTACACAACAACTTTACAGTGTATGTGCTTGGAGAGCGAAATAATTATTCTGTTTTATTTACAGTGCTTTGAGCATGTTTATGTAAACGCGCAATATAAATATCAATATTTATGTATGTATGTTATTGTTATTGTTATCATTATTAGTATTGTTATTATTTTTTAAATCTTTATTGTTATTATTATCATTGTTTCGAATCTAGGATTGGTATTCTGAAAACAATATTGTCTTTTTAAGTAACGAAAATAATGTTAACTGTCATAACAAAATTAGATTAGGACAAGTCATTTGTGAAATGTTTGCGTAAAACTGGCTGCGTTTAATTGCGTAAAGTAAACAGAAGCAACTTCCTTAGTTTCAATAACAAGGTCTTTATAGACAGATGTGGCTTTTATACGGATGGTCACTAAAGCGCGTTTGACTCTACTGAAATGATAATGATATCATACTTTCATACAGTGATTGCATCGATGCGTTTTCCTTTGGTTATTCTTGGTCAGCGGATTTCAAACCAGAACTTTATGTGTACTCTCTCCACTCCGTAAGGAGTATTCGCACCGCCTTGCCCCCCCCCCCACACACACACATAGTATGTCACTATAAAGTAATAGTGTGTGTTTCGCATGTACCTTTGTTGCCATCGTTTACTTATCTTCAAATTATTTCAATTTCATTTTCTATACTATTGAGAACGTACAGGAATGATACCTTTCCTCAATGTTTTGATATTTCATACACAGTAACCAGCGGACGACGCTGATCAATTTGGTCACATAAAATACTGTCATCCTGTGCAGTTCATTGTAACTTTTTCGAATATAGATGGGATATGAGCATCCAGGGGCCCGCCTTTAATAGGATCCGATCGTGACTTATTGAACGTTTCGCCCGTTGTTGTAAGTAACTATAGAAACAAGAGGCTCCCCCGTCTCTCTCTCTCTCTCTCTCTCTCTCTCTCTTATTTCAAAGTTTTTCTCTCCCAGTCTGTCCATCCCCTCTCTCCCTTCTCTCTCTCTCTCTATCTCTCTAATTTCGAATACACATAGTACAGAGAAAATGGGAGGGGAGGAATAACAGGAGAAAGAGCGAGAGAGCGAGATAGAGAGAGAGCAAGAAAGAGAAAAAAAAGGAGAGAGGGGAGAGGTAGATTGGGAGACAGAAACGAGAAAGAGGAGAGAGACAGAGAGGGAAACAGATTGGGAGAGAGAAGTGAGAGAAAGATTGGGAGAGAGAAACGAAAAAGAGGAGAGCGAGAAAGGGACATTCGGAGAGAGAAATAGAAAGGGGCAGACAGATTGGGATAGAAAAGGGAGAGATAGAGGGGAGAGACAGATTGGGAGGGAGAAAGGAGAAAAAGATCGAGAAAAGTGGAGAGAGAGAGAGAGTGGTGGGATATTAGGAGAAACAGGTGAGAGAGAGAGAGAGAGAGAGAGATGGAAAGAAATCGAGAGAATAAAAGGTGTGAGGGGGAGGCAAATGGCAACAAGATGCACACAAAGAAGTAATTGCTAATTGGTACAGGCAAAATATATTTACAAATTCCAAAGCGTAATGTATCTAGGCCTTCTATAGTATATATCAATAAATAATCAGACGTAAAAAACGAAAATTTTGTTGCATAGGTATACGTCAAATTTTTGCGTTTGCGTGTCCCTTAAGAGCCACTATAAGTATGTCTTTCAAAGCCTGCTTTATAATATTAGATCAGATGTTGTATGAAATATATCTTTAGAAAGAATAATATGATGGTATTCATGAACATAAAACCCGAAACAAAATGTTGACGAAGGGAGTAAAAAAATCCGAATCATTGTTGATTGCTGTAGAGCAGTGAGACTAAGTATGGGACAGCGCTTGGATACTGACTTGGATGTATGACAAGGACCGGAAAACGGAGCTAACCCTACATATTGTATGAAGGTTGAATGTTTTATTTCTGTAACTCCTTTTCAACTAATCCAATGTATAATGACAACACAGAGAAAATACATAATATTTAACATTCAAAGTTACACTTCTTGTTTCACAATAAACATATATGACCTCATTAAATACATTTGTCTTGTGTGATGTATTCGCATAACTAATTGAATGATTATCCAAAAATGTCTGATCTGAATAATAACGTGCTACAATTGATACAGCTGCCTGAATAGGTATTTAATAATTTCTTGGTTCAAGAATCTAAAGCTTCATTTGGTTTACGTGTAACCTAAAATATCAGAAAACGACCTAAGTTGACAATTTGACAATCACATTACAACTAAAAAAGCCATTTGCCTTTTACCTGTACATCCGCTAGAACCATGTTAAGGCTCTAGATCTATGATTTTTGTTTCTCAGTTTATTATCCAAAAGATCAAAATTCATTTGCCTTTTAAATACATCTTGGGCCAATTATTTACAGCTTTATCATCAAAGCAAGAAAGAGAAATCATAAATGTGTCGTGTTCGTTTTGGTGAAATTTCAAAATCAAATAAAGATCAATAATTAATTGTTCAATCATCAACATTTCAGTACCGTTCTATTCTGTTTAACATCATTGAAGAAAGATCCTAATGCATTCATCCATATAATTCAGTGAGCAATATAACGGATGTGTGAATGATTACACTGCAGGTTACCTCATTAGATAAAATCTTAACATTAAAAAAAATGTACAGATTACCCCCATATTACTCACCGGTTAATACAACCTACACTGTGCTAAATTTACATGCATAAATGCTACCATCCAACTCTCATGTTACAAAAGACTTCCATTAGTCTATAATGACTTTGTGCGATACCTTTACAAATGTCCCAAAAGTTACATTTAAACAAAACTTTCTTCAAAATAGTGACTTTTATAAAGTGGCATCCAATCTGAAGGAAGTCAAGCTTGCGCTCAATTCAACTTTACAATGTTATACATGTAGCTGGCATAATCAATTACAAAATAGTTACATTTTCCTAAAACAGACACACAATACATTCAAATTGCATAGTACTTCAATTGTTTCGTATTAACAATAACAGATTGTAATTTGCTAAACATTATCAATAGCATTAAAACTGAAAGATACAAGTATCAGGATATCAGATGCAGAATAAGGCCTTTAAACATTCACCAACCAGTAAAAATGTCACTAGTAATTCATACAACATGTATATTATAGAAGAACAAAAACTAAAGTCGTAATGTATTAAATTTATGGAAATCGGTTTAGTAAGGTATAATCACCATGAACACATTAACATACTCCAAATAAAAATATGAATCAAAATTCAGTTTAAGCTGCACATATAGTTCTTAAAGAGCCTTTTTATTTGCTTTGTACACTAATTGTCAGATGACAAACATAGGGTTTAATAAAACGCCAACGGCGGTATGTAATATACTGGTAGAGGAAGAGGAAGAAAGAAATCTCACAATTTCTTCTGCAGCATACAAATGAATAGTCACCTTCACGGTGTAATTAGATGTTCTACTTTTGCTCTTATTTATACTTGGATCTAAGACCACCAGCCTTAGACTCAACAAGAACCTGGTCCAGGTCTCTCAGGGTCCTATGGGATTCTGTCTTCCACAGCTGCAGAAGGTGCATGTATGTATCTGGATAGTCATTTATCTTCTGCGTTAGGATACCTTGTGCAATACTTGGTTTGATCCCAAGAGTAAGGTGCAGAGCGGAGAAATGATCCGGAAGGAGTTCCTGTGAGATTCTTAGCAAATGCATATCTGTTACTTCCGGTGAGTCGATAGGCCTGAGATTAAAGGAGAGACAAAGATCTAGTTTGTGATGTCAACACTAATATGTAGGCCTACAGCTGGTTATGGCAAAAATTTTGTCAATGATAATAGTTAATTGATTAGACAAATGTAACGGTGGTCAATTTACAACCTGTCTAAAGTTGGCGAAAGTGTTAAATAAGCTTTACATGTAGAGCATAATTATGTTACGTTTCATTGACAATCAGCCCTGCATGAAGACTCTCGTCTACGGCTGATTGTCAACGAAACGGAGTTAAGTCTTTTGTTAATTTCGGTTACTGATACGGCAGGCAGCCAGTGAAAACGAATTCGTTTAATAAATTTATGGAAATGCAAGCACTACTTTAAACAAACAGAACTTTGTCATTCCTCGCTCATTTTTCCTGATTGAGGTGTCATATGAAGGAGCAGAAACTCAACTTTCTAGAAATGTGAATTTTCCTTCGAATTTCAGATACCGCCCGCCAAATGTCTTTTTAGTTTCCTTCCTTCAAATTGCTTTTAATCACTCATGCGTGAAATATGCATCATCTGAGTAGCATCACATGAAAGAGGAGACTCTAAACTTTCTAAATATGTATCATTCATTAATTATAGTTGTGATTAAGTTATGATAGAACATCGATACTTCTCGGTTTCGTTTTTTCTGGGACGCATTGTATATGCTTCAGTATTTAATATATTGTTTTAATATTATAACCAAACCTATGAATTGTCTCACGAAGCCCCTTTTAAACTCTTTAAACCAATCAAATTAGTGATCATCTAAAAGACTGTCACTTACTTAATTGACAATGAAATGAAAAAGAAAATACCACTGCGCAAATAGATTGCCCAAGCCAAGAAAACTCCACTTCATGAAAATCCAAGTCGCACAACAGACCCAATTTAAAATCAGCGAAAGTGGTCAGAAATAAAGTACAGGACAAAATCAGCAGCGGAATAAAACATTTCGAAATAAAATAAAATAAAAAGATAGACCTACTTTTGAGTTCCTTTTGCCCTTGGTGTCACCTGGTCCCCTATAGTAAGAAAGGAAAATTAAAAAAACAGAGCACTGTTTCACGTTAGTGTTTCCTTTTTCCTTAGTATACTAGTATATCAGATACTGAATTCCATTGGTATTTCCAACTGTAATATTATTCTGACACTTTTTTTTTCTGACGATTTTATAATTGTTTAACATTTTACGATTTGTTGTAGTTTTCAGGTGGGCTGTATATCGTACAGACCACCTTATAATTTCGTAAGAATTGCCTTTATTTATTTATTTATTATTCTTTATTTTTCTTATTTCGAACCACTTTTTTGTAAGCACGATTACTTGAAAATGGCTCAATAAAATTCCTTCAAATTTGGCACACATATGTATAGGCATATGTAAAAAGCACAATAATGTTTTTAACATTGACCTTCACTGATGACGTCATCTAGGCGCCATTTTGTAAAATTTTACGAAAATCAACACATGATCATATCTTCATAACCAAAGGTTATTTCTCATTCATATTTATCATGATCAAGGTCAATATCCGTCCGGTCAAGTGCAGGTCAAATAACGCGCGCATGCGCGTACGTCCGCGCGTCAATGCGCGCGCAAAATTTCAAAATGCTCAAAATCGTCTTGAAATCATTTTGCATACGTTTTAGGCCATTCTAAGCATTTTATAAAAAAATCGCGCACACGCGCATGCGTATACATAATCCATTGTAGCTCTTTAGGATGCAAGGTGACCCCAACTTTTGTTCATATTTTAATAGAGTATGATTCTGAGATATGATTTCATTTTTCATTTGACCCTCAATTACCTCATGACATCATCATAATGGCCTCCGAACTAAAAATTCCAATTTGCATATTATGACGTCAGCATATTTATGGATAATTGATTGTATCTCTGTAAATATTGATCAATTTTCGTCCATATTTTGATTTGTTTTCGCTGAGACAATTTTCTACAAATGCAGTTACTATTATCCTTCATTTTGACTAAGGCATCATGGCGTATTGTTGCGATTAAAGGAGGCATGTCAATTTTTCACATTTAGCGTGTATTCTCTATGGGACATGACTTTTTCTCAAAACTTGATGCTACATTTCCGTCTTTCGCGAGCAATATCTACGTCGTTTTAGATTCGTTTACGCTGAACTTCGAGTATATTGTAGCTGAGACAATAAGATATCTCAAATGTATCCTTCATTTTGTCTCAATTTTGTGTTGGATCAGCCCACCTATACTTGTTCCAAACAAGTATTACAAATCTAGTTTCTTTTGTTTTTATTCGAAACCCAATTCCTGTGGTTTAAACGTTTGAAACAGGTTATAACATTAAACGTATACTACTGAATGTTGTTGTGGTTCTTCCTCCTTCTTCTTCTTCCTTTCTTCGTTATGAAGCTGGATGCTAAGCTAGGGGCTTACATTTATATGTTTTCAAGCGATTAACACTTACCTGACAGATTCATCGGACAAATAATTTCCATCTTTGCGCTTTGTTCCAAGATGAACTGAAGGAAGACTTTAGATTGGTCAGCGGCTGGAGTGTTAACGACGAACCGTACATTGACCTCAAGTGATTTATGAAACAGAGTTTCCTGTTGTGTCTGTTAAGAAAGACATAGGATAAAAATGTTAGATACACATTAAATGCACCCATCATGTCAATTAATTAGATTGTATGTCCTAAACGATTTGCCTAATATAAGATTGTCTCTTCCTCTACAGCTAGGCTACAGTTCAATGGTGTTACATGTGTCTCTATTATACCCCGTAGGTATCATCCTATATAAAATAAATTGTTTCTTATCATGCCACAGGGCTAATCCCCGTTGTGCCAAGCCCCAAATCCCCCGTGCCAGGTTGTTTTGGAGATTATCTGATTCACGTGATGGTTCTATGAGTAGCGCGTGCGAAACACACAGTAAGCATGAACAATAACCGTTATTACGAATGCGTGCTATGCGTGCTTGCACGCACATGGCAGTGAATCAGTGGTTAGCTCACATGTACAAAGGACTATAACGGTAGCGTGCATGCTCATGTCATGCTATGAGTTAAAATGTGTGAGTAATCAAACGCACACCCACGCCTGCTGGCAACCAATTACGCACACACACTATCGTCGAGCGATGTTAAATAAACAATATTATTATTATTATTATTTTATTATTATTCTATTGATACGCAATATCAAATTAATACACATTTGGTAAGAAATGTTGCATATATTTGCCAGTATATATAAACATTCATATTCAGGTAATATAATCGAGTAACTTTAATTGTAATGTTAACTTTTCATTCAACTGTTACGGTTTGACAAATGTCATGTATACCTACTTGTTTTCCCTCTCTAGTATACATCCGTCACGGAATTGAGAGAGATAGGTGTGAAACGCGCACACGTTCGCGATCAAATGTTAATTCATGGAGTTCCAAACAAGTTCCCTTCTATATAGAGATTTTATGTTGGAGGGATCTAGTTGGAGCCCCGTGACTTAATATTTGTCCGCGTGTCACAACTATGTTTCTCAATACGCTATGCACCGATTATACAGACCATTTTGTGTTTTAACTTGGGGAAGGGGGTTATTAGGATAAGATTAATTCATTCCAAATAATTGAGTTGTGTAATTGTGTACTCTATATGTATTGTAATTCGTAATAATTAGTATGATGTACATGCATTGAATGAATACAATTAAAAATAAATACTTAAATAAATACAAATTAAAGACATCACACCAACTAAACAAAAACATTGCTCTGAATAGCAAACAAATCGATCAGTGAATTTTGAATCGGTTTGTCGTTGTGACTAAATCATTTATATTAACTTGCCTTGGTGTATATTTCCTTGTCGTCTACCTGACAGGTTACTTTAAGATCACCAGAACGCCATGCCACAAAATACTCTTCTCCCTTTATCGGTGTCACGTATCCTGGTTCCGGCTGATTTGTGTTATGATATGAAAAGAATATACATGTACAATGAAAAGAAAGTAACCCACAAATTTGAAATATTATAAACTTATACATAATATACAGTTTACACTTTACATAAGCTTGAAAATCACATGGCATTAAATTGAGAAAAACACATTGAGAACGGAAGAAGGAATAACGTTTAAACACTTTTTCATTTTTCATTTTAAGTTTTACTTTAAGATTTGTTTTTAAGGCCGTCATCCTAGTCAAGCATCGCTTATGATTGCGATCTCCTGCACTTTTTCAACAGAAAGTTTTGATAATACTTAAAATATATAATAATATGTTATAGAAATATTAAGTTTCGTTACTATATGTACATAATTATGTAAAAACAAAACATTTTGACTTGAAATTTGTTCTTTATTATTCAGTTTTAATATTGGAAAAGTGCAGAAAAAAAATCAAATAAACAAGAAGACAGAGAAAACAAAAGACTGGATAGCCCATTTTCAGCTGCACTTGCGTAGTGCAGCTGTTCTTACATGGGTACCAGAAAGAACACAAGACGATGGGGGGGGGGGGGGGGGGGGTGCAAAGAACAAAAACAACGACAATGGTTTGTAAAAAATAAAAATATAAATTAAGGTCTACGGTATCAATCAATTTAGTTGGAAAAGAGGGTTCTAGGACTACTACCCCCCCCCCTGGACATCCACCCCGGATAACCACCCCCAGTCAACTACCCCTAGGACAACTACCCCTAGGGCAAACACCCTCTAGGACGACTACCCCCAGGACAACTACCCCCGGACAACTACCCCCAGACAACTACCCCTACGACAACCATCCTCTAGGACAACTACCCCCCGGACAACTATCCAAGGGGCTGGTAGTTGTCTGGGGGTAATTTTCTGGGGGTTAGTTGTCCGGGGTAGTTGTCCTAGGGGGAAGTTGTCTGGGGTAGCTGTCCGGGGGTAGTCGTCCTAGAAGGTGGTTGCCCTAGGGCCCTAGGAGTAGTTGTCCTAGGGGGAAGTTGTTCTAGGGGGTAGTTGTTCGAGGGGTAGTCGTCCTAGAGGGTGGTCGTCCTAGAGGGTGGTTGCCCTAGGGGGTAATTGTCCTAGGGGGAAGTAGTCCTAGGGGTAGTTGTCCTGGGGGTAATCTTCCTAGAGGGTGGTCGTCCTAGAAGGTGGTTGCAATACAAATTAATTAACCCGATAAGAATAATAGTATTTCAATAGTCACAATATAAGCTGCATATATTAAGTGTTGTTAGGTAGGACAGGCCATTGTGTGTGTCCAACCTGGCAGTTTGGATTATGTCTATTGAAATACTATTATTCTTATCAGGTGAATGCGATTGTTTGTATCGAGGCACTTCACAAAGACGTATGCATTACAGTTTATTACATTACGAAAATTGCCTATTGCAAACGTTCCGTATTGTAAGACAAGGCAGGACAAGCTATGATGTTTGTCCTATCAACAAGTAATGTATGAATTTTATACTATGACTATTGAACTTAATTATTCCTAACAGGTGAATTAAATCATTTGTTACATGGCACTTAGGTGTACGCATAACATTTGATTACAATATGAACATGGTCTATTTGCCGTGCTCCAGCCCACGTTGCTTGTCATTTTGCGGTGAACCTCATACGCAGGCTCCGTTGTTCTGAACCAGTAACCTGGACGACAAGCGAATATGACATAAGTACTTTAGTAGTCTTTAAACAAACTGGCCCGAATTGATAAAGGAGGTTTGTCGACAAACCTAGGTTTATGTGCGTCATATGACGCGTTTCGACGCGGCATCGAAACGCGTCATATGACGCACATAAACCTAGGTTTGTCGACAAACCTCGTTTGTGAATTCCTGCCATTGGGCCGTATGCATAAAAAGTAGCAATTGCTTGTGCTAGCCTTTTACTTGAATCCGTATGCATAAACATAAGCAATTGCTTGCAAGCAAATGCTTTTGCTAGCAAGCACAAGCAATTGCTTGATGTCCGCAAGCAATTGCTTAAAAACGTATGCATAAAACAAACCTTTTGCTTGTTCTTATAAGCAATTGCTTACGTTTTTTCAAGCTCCGTCATAGCAGCTTGAGCTCTTGCTTAATCGGGACGTTCGCGGTTAAGCATCATGTTTATGCTCGTTAGAGAAAGACCAAAGTTGTACAGGAGTAGAATAAATCGAGAAGAAATTGCTCCCGAGACCTATCGGAAACTATTCCGTTTCGACAAAGAGAACGTTGAGTGGTTAGCACACAGGTTCATACCTGAACATGATGAAAAACGGGGAGGATGTCTGACAACGGTGGAGAGCATGGAGGCCACGCTCCACTACTTGGCGGAACCCGCCTTTGTTCTCCCATGAATGATGTTCGCACCGGCGTGACGTCGCTATTGTTGAGATCGTAAGCAATTGCTTGCTGGAGGCAAGCAAAAGGTTTGAGCACAAGCAAAATGTTATGCATACGGATTTAAGCAATTGCTTGAGCTTGATCTTTTGCTTGACAAGCAATTGCTTGTGCTTGAAGCAATCGCTTGCAAGCAATTGCTACTTTTTATGCATACGGCCCGTGTCACAATACCCCTTTCCATTCATACCTCCGCTTTCCCTTGGTTACTGTCTCTAATGCAGAGCCTCAATAGATGCTTAGTGTTCATAGGGCTCGGTTCGGGTACGAAAGGCGTACAGATGACACGCTTGCCCACGAATACCTTTGTGATGAAAGCAACAATCCACCATTCAGAGAAGTGAGAGATATAGAGGTCAAGGTCTCGCTCTCTAACAACACATCGAGGGTCACCATTGGAAGCAGCAATCAACGAAAAACTGTCGGAGCCTTTAAATTGAAAACAAAAGACATATGCAAAATCGCAATTTGTTCTTGTTTGCAAAATCGAAAACAAAGCAAACTATTAAAATACAAATACAAATTTCAGAGAACGCAGAAGCGACGGGGAGGGTGAGTAACCCATTTTTTTTTACCAACGATTATACGATAGATCATCCCAATGTATACCTCTTTAAAAGAGGGGGAAAAAAACGTAGTCATGTTCGAATCAGAGATAAATTTGCTCAAGATGGTATCTCACAAAAAGAGTTAAAAACAAACCCCTTTATCGAAATTTACGATCTTGGATTGGTGTCATTTTACTTGGGATAGAATGATCTACCGAATTTTCAAAAACAAATGACATTGTGTCAACTTGACGTTGAAATTACAGACCTCAGGTGTTGCGTTCTCTTTTAGCAACCCTGTATAACAAACTAAACAAAAGAATCATAAACTTCGTATCGCTTTATAGTCGGTAAATTTATGGAAAAAAGAATGGCGTCTGAGATGGCAGGCATTACGTTAGAAAAGCTTTAGATAATAATAATACATATATATCTTAGAGATGTTATTTTAGTGTCTTTACATTTAGGTTTGGAGGTTAGAAGCAGCCAATCTATACTAACAATTCTTTCGTTGCATTTAGGGTCAACCCCAAATTGACCCGACAATTTTGAATAGTGGATTCTATTTATGCTAATGAAGTACGCTTAAATATATCACTCAATGTTGCGATGGGTGATTGAACGATAATAACATTGTATTCTAATGCGTCTTAACAAAGTCTTGCATTTAACATCTAAATTAATCTTACCCCTTGTTAATTTAATTTAAAAAATTGTTTTTCCTAACTCAACAATTAAATGTGGACTTGTCAAATTAGGTCCTTTGTTGAGCATGTTTCGTGTAAGATGATTCTCAAGAAACATAAATCAGGACAGTTCAATTTTCGCATACTTTGGCAATTACAAAAACGCGGTAAGGGTACGAATAATTTAGTTGTTAACTGAAAATATTCTTACTGCTTTTTCGATGGTATGTCCCAATAGATGCAGTATCGGGACTTGTGAAAATTGCTGAATGGGGCATCGTCACTTTTACTGGATATTTAAACTTTGCATCAGACGGTGTCGCCTTAAGACCAACACAAATGATTGCTTGGTCCTCCGTTAACAGGTCTAACAGTTCAGCTGGAACTTCAGGTACTGCCTGTATGTCTTCAACACCCCAAATCTCACTTGGATGAAACTGGACTTCAATGCCATACTTCTCGATGCGAAGCGAACCTGCTTGCTCATCAGATGCCCCCGTGGAATCATGAATAACATCTTCTACGACCTGTTCAGAAGATGCAGAGTCTGTGTTGAGCTGTTCTGTTTTTGAGGTGTGTACGTTTCCTTCGCTATCCACCTGTTTTTCGACACTCCCGCTTTCCTGTTGTGAACCAACGGCTGGATCTACAACGAAACAACCAAAGACAGATTTCCTGTTTAAAGTGTATATAGGCCTACATGTAATTACTTATTTTCGGTTTAAGTCATGGTTGTTCTCACAATTTTTTTCTTAAATGTAACTTTTTATGACGCATCTAATTCACTGTAAACGCTTCTAAAAAACACTTGCATTTTCGTAAGATAATACGGTGAGGTTTTCTTCTTTTTGGGGGGTGGGGGGGGGGGGTGCGTTAGGCGTCCTTGATCAATATGGATATATTTCTTACCATTTTTGCCTTTTGATAGACGAATCATCAATGGTTTATAACACAAATAAGGAACAGCATTATCTTTTTGAAAAAATATATTTCAACAGCAGTTTAATTTTCCCCATGCCTTTTGTTCACACTGCCTTGCACTGAACGGCGAAAGCTCTATATTCACTGTGCGTAGGCCCTACGATAGCCGCTTTTTTCGAAGGCATTGCTTGTTTTCGGTTTTCCGTAGTTGTGCTTGACTTTTCAAATTAATAACTAACCTATATCCTGGGTTGCCCATGTTAAAATGATTTGCTTTCGAATCAATCCCTAAGGTTTTTGCCCAATTAGGTCATTATTTCACGTGTACAGTACGTCAAGGTAACACATTTCATGAAAGCTCGTAATAGCCCTACGAAACATGGGATCGTCAATTTAAAGTTTAGGTACTTTCTGAAGCATATTGTAAATCATACAATGTGTTGTATTGTCAGTGTTCCTTGTGGCCCATCCCCTCCCTTTTTTCTCGACCTGTCTCTTTTGATCGATCTGACCCTGACATATTTCAAATTTAAAAAAAGAATTACTCAAATGCTCTAGCTGTCCACGGACTTCCTCGGGTTTCATTAGTTGCAATAAAATACATTCATCACTAATGATTAGGGCCTATATAAATTATAATTTTCATTTAACAAAGGAGGTTGGAATGTGACTATGCCAGCTCAATGGAATGATCTAATCGACGTAGTGGTCATCTCCCCTTAAATTTCCAATCTCAACATTTGATTCAGATATTTTCCTAAATGAATGATATTAATTATAAATTATCAACAGGAAATGTCAAAGAAATGTACAGAAAATAAGCCGGATCGTACACAATACCAACTGAACTAACCATTATCGATAAACTCCGCGTGGAGAGGTGTGCTGCAGTCATTATCAGCCCTATTTGGTTCTGCTTTGTGGCTAATGAGAAAATGTACAACATCGAGGTGACCTTTGAGTGATGCCGCTTGGAGAGGTGTGTGCCCCCCAATACCAGCCCTATTTAGATCTGCTCCTTGGCCAATGAGAAACTGTACGACATCGAGATGGCCATTAAATGAAGCCGCTTGAAGAGGTGTGCGCCCAACAATATTATTTAGATCTGCTCCCTGGCCAATGAGAAACTCTACAACATCGAGGTGACCTTTGAGTGATGCCAATTCCAGAGATGTGCTGCCGTCATAACTAGAACTATTTAGATCTGCTCCTTGGCCAATGAGAAATTGTACAACATCGAGGTGACCGTTGGAAGATGCCACTTGAAGTGGTGTGCGCCCACCAATACCTGGCCTATTAAGGTCTGCTTTTTCGCCAATGAGGAACTGTACAACATTGAGGTGACCATTTAATGATGCCGCTTGGAGAGGTGTGCGTCCACAAATACCGGCCCTTTTGAAATCTGCTTTTTGGGCAATGAGAAACTGTACAACATCGAGGTGACCTTTGAGTGATGCTGCTTCTAGAAGTGTGCTACCATCATTACCATGCCTATTTAAATCTGCTCCTTGGCCAATGAGAAACTGTACAACATCGAGGTGACCGTTTGCTGATGCCGCGTGGAGAGGTGTCCTTCCATCCTTATCCGCCCCTTTTAGATCTGCTCCTTGACCAATAAGAAACTGTACAACATCGAGGTGACCATTGAATGATGCCATGTAGAGAGGTGTCATACCATCTTTATCCACACTATTTAGATCTGCTCCTTGGCCAATGAGAAACTGTACAACTTCAAGGTGACCATTTAATGAGGCCGTGTAGAGAGGTGTCATACCATCTTTATTGGCCCTTTTTAGATCTGCTCCTTTACTAATAAGAAACTGTACAACTTCAAGGTGACCATTGAATGATGCCGTGTAGAGAGGTGTCAGGCCAACTTTATCCACACTATTTAGATCTGCCCCGTGGCAAATGAGAAACTGTACAACATCGAGGTGACCGTTGGAAGATGCCACTTGAAATGGTGTACGCCCACCAATACCTGGCCTATTAAGATCTGCATTTTCGCCAATGAGAAACTGTACAACATTGAGATGACCATTAAATGATGCTGCTTCGAGAGGTGTGAGTCCACCAATACCAGCCCTTGCGAAATCTGCTTTTTGGCCAATGAGGAACTGTACAACATTGAGGTGACCTTTGAGTGATGCCGCTTCTAGAAGTGTGCTCAAATCATTACCATTCAGATCTGCTCCTTTCCTAATAAGAAGCTGTACAACATCAAGGTGGCCATTGCACGATGCTGTGTAGAGAGGTGTCCAGCCATCCTTATCCGCCCTTTTTAGATCTGCTCCCTTCCCAATGAAAAACTGTACAACATCGAGGTGACCGTTTGCTGCTGCCATGAAGAGAGGTGTCCAGCCATCCTTATCCGCCCTTTGTAGATCTGCTCCCTTCCCAATGAAAAACTGTACAACATCGAGGTGACCGTTTGCTGATGCCGCGTGGAGAGGTGTCCTGCCATCCTTATCCACCCTATTAAGATCTGATCCTTGGCCAATTAGAAACTGTACAACATCGAGATGACCCTCAAATGATGCCGCGTAGAGAGGTGTCCTGCCATCTTTATCCGCCCTTTTAAAATCTGCTCCTTGGCCGATGAGAAACTCTACAACATCGAGGTGACCATTGAATGATGCCGCGTAGAGAGGTGTCCTGCCATCATTATCCGCCCTATTTAGAACTGCTCCTTGGCCAGTGAGAAACTGTACAACATCGAGGTGACCATTGAATGATGCCGCGTGGAGAGGTGTCCAATTATCATTACTAGCCCTGTTTATATCTGCTCCTTGGCCAATGAGATCCTTTACAACCTCGAGGTGACCATTGGATGATGCCGCGTGGAGAGGTGTGCTATCATCATTTTCACCCTCTGGAAGGTCTGCTCTTTGAATCTTTTCCCCATCCATGATAAGAATTCAACTGATCTGAGTGTCTGCCTGTAATTTCTAGACTATATAATTTAAGTATATAGGCTATTTGATCAGCCAACTAGAACTGTATTACAGCTGAAGACATGAACTTATTGAGAATCTGTGTCGCAATGTCTATTTCATTGTCGCCCCTAACGACTCCAAGCTATGGGACGAAGAGAGATAGATAGCTATAGGCTATACTTTGCCGCTTATTATCTGCTCCGAGTATTACGGCTGGCAGTGGTTTAATGCGCCTGGAAACTTCATTTGGACCGCGTGATTATACTTGCCCTGCGAGGTGGTCACTTCTTCTCATTATATATTCTATTAATCGTTCATATCAGCTGCATAGGTACGCTCCATTTCCGAATTAGCATGATGGTCTTCCATTCTCCAATTAATGTCACATATCCAACACCTCCTCAACGTAGTCAAATCTCGAATGTGTATAGGCGGCCTAGGCCTACAGATATGGCAATGTTGTTATTCCAAAATAAAAAGACCCAGCGCGATCTCATAGGTAACTTGTATTATATGACGTTCGATACAGGCTACAATAAATACATGCAGCTCTATTCCTAGTTGCTGCATTATGGAACTAGAATGCACGCAACCATCAGTCAGGTGTGAATTATGCTACCTGCTTCCTCAAACATATATTGTAGAAATTGACATATGACCGGAATTTGGTTTATGTTTACTTTTTTACTCGGCTCAATGAACAGTTGACAATAGACCTAAAATCGTACTAGCATATTTCAATAACATGACGGAGCAGAATATTTAATCGTGAAAAATATGATACCAACATTTACAGATTTGGTAGTTTTTTGTTTGTTTTGGGGAGTATTTTGGATTGCAATGATTCATAGGAGTTCAAGTTTGTCAAGTATCAAGGAAACAACATTTTTTCAACTATTTTGTATGAATCAATCGGATGGAATCAATTTTGAAACGAATTTACCATGATTCTGGATAGATTAATTAAGTAATGATGTATACACTGCATATCATAGTCGTATTGAAGAGCAGCAATGGCGAAACAAAATCCCTAAAATTCAGCAAATTGTTGCTTGAATCGTTTTCCCCTGAAATCATTATGATACATAAAGCTAGAGACTGCAGACCTGGTAAACATGCTTACTACTGTATGGAGAAGAAAATGGATAATGTTCTAAGTCAGTGACTTAGCTCCGGGGTATAGGGGTGTTTTTCCTTAATCGTATTGCGAGAGAAAACGAGAGAGATAGAGAGAGAGAGGGTGACGGGTTTGTGCGGGGTTCAAATTCGGTTTTCTTTGAAATTATTCAACCTGGAACTAATGAAGTTATCTTCCATGTGATTGTCATGTGATAGTACCGCAGTGATGTGTATTGTTGTAAAGAATGTTTGGCTTGCACTCAGTAGATTAAGATCGCGTGCTCGATGTTGTTATCAGGGACTTTTCGATTTGCACGTCGGCATAGAGGACTGCTAGGTGTGAAGTCCTAATAAGGCACTGTCAGTGCCTTACAAGGACGTCATACGTTACAGTCCACTATGTCGACGTGCAAATCGAAAAGTCTCTAATTGAAAACAAGTTATAGCAAAATCTTTTAACCAGAGGGACCTACTGGATGCAAGCCAAAGGTTGATTTACAACAATTGAATTTTCTCCTAGGAAACTTAACATAAAAAAGGAGTTTATTCAAAAAGCATTGTAAAGACGATGAAAAAATATGAATAATACATCGTTATTATCGTGTGTGAATGATCTCTTCTATATCTCTCTGCCAAATCCTGCGAACAGTGGAATCAATCGAGCGGAATCAATTGATAAACGAATTTATCATGAGTCATGACAGATTAATTTGCTACTGCATATCATAGTCGTATTAAAGAGCAGCAGTGGCGAATACGTGTTGCTATGATCCCCCCCCCCCATTAAAAAAAAGCTTAATAAAACAATGCACGGCATAAATGATATTAATTTGAAAACAGTCAGAAAACATTGTAATGACAATGAATAAGACATAATTCGATCATGCTAAACATTTTTTTAAAATTCTTGTTAATCCTCCAGTACTTATTGACCATTTGATTATTGTCTATCGTCATAAATGTAGTGTCTTTTTAATTCTTTTATATATTTTACTTTAATTAAAAATTAATATTCTATTATCTCTTCTTTTCTCTTGATACTTTTTCAGCAATGAATTAAGATTTGGGGTAGATATCTAGAATTAGGTATAGTATTAAATCCTTGACACATGACGTTTTGCAAAAGACAATCTTGAAAATAAGGATCACAATGATTTATACCACTACTACAAGGCCTACTACTACGTGTATTTCTAAGACCCAGGGTTCAAATTCAGTTTTGTTTTAATTATTAAATCCAGTAATGATTGTCGAAATGAAAAGTATTGTCTTAATGTTTTCTTCTTTGCTGCTTGAAGATCAATGCAAAGCTTTCCGTTTGCCCTCTTGAACTCCCTCATACGTATGTAAATTCGCAGGTGTATCATACACTGCGGAGTCTTCATGACAAGAGAGAGCATCCACAGGGTCAACTTACGCTACCCTCTTGTCGTGTTAGCGCGTTACTCTCTAGTCGTGTTAGCGCGTTACCCTCTAGTCGTGTAAGCGCGTTACTCTCTATCGTGTTAGCGCGTTACCTTCTCGTCGTGTTAGCGCGTTACTCTCTAGTCGTGTTAGCGTGTTACTCCCTAGTCGTGCTAGCGCGTTACTCCTGGAATTATCCCGGTGTAAATCAGTCGGCGTAAAGGTCAGCGTAGCTGACACCACTATCGTTCAGATGGTCACTACACCAACCTTTACACCGACCTTGCCATACTTACGCCGAAAAGCTCTAAACACGACCTTTACGCCAACCAAAATTGCCAGCATTTGAACACCAGTAGTGAGTGGTCAATAGCCGTGTGGAGGGAAAGGGGGGGGGGGGGTAGTTTTTATGATTGGAATGTTGAGACTGCTATGGAGAATCGCGTATCTTTATCTGAGATTTGAAATCATTTATATTTTCGTTTTTGGGGGGTCCACGTTAAGGTTAGGTTTGGGATTTGGTTAATGTTTAGGGTTAGAGTTAAAATTCGGATTAGGGTTAAGATTTCAAGGTCCAAAAAATGCCCCTTACCATCTGTAACGAGTGCCACTTTACCTATAATTGCCTCTCTTTAAATCTGAGAGGTGCCCCTAATATTTTGACAAGTGCCTCTTTTCCTTTGTGTGCCCTCTTTTCATTCTTATAAATGCCCCTTTTCATTCTCCGATGAGTGCCTTTATTCAAATCTGAGAGGTCACCCATTTCACTTGCAATAAGAGCCCCTATTCATCTATAAAAAGTGCACCCTTTTATGTTGACACGTGTTCTTTATCCTTTCTAATCAGTGCCATTTTCCTTATGATAAATGCCCCTTTTCTTTTTGAATAACAGCCACTCCCCATTCTTATAAATGCACCTTCTGACACCTCTGATAGATGCCTCTATCAAAACCTTAAACATGCCCATTTTCCTTCTACAAGTGTTCATTTCCCCCTTGTAATAAGTGCCCCTTTTCCGTTATCATAGAAGCCTTCCTTTATCTCTGGTGAGTGCCCTTTATCAGGTGCGAAAAATGCCCCATTTTCACGTCTAATAAATCCCCTTTTTACTTTGACATGTGCTCTTTATATGCCATCGTTTCCTTTCACCATAAAATGTGCTCCTAAGTTAAAGGCACCGAATTTAAACTTCACCAAAACCTCGCTCGCTACATTATGTCGCATTTAAAGTTAATATAAATGTGTTTCTTATTTAAGATCTGTTCAGTCTTTCATGATTACAATGTGCTTAAAACCCCATCAGGATTGTCTTTCGCTCTTTATAAAATGTAATTTTTTCGGAATGCGACCTCACTAATCCTAAATTATTCTGATCATCACACCAAACTTCAAAATGTGATGGTTATTAAAGCAGTATCTTCAACCGTGCAAAGAGAACGTTGAAATCATCCTCGATAATGTAATCACATTGTAGGGGCATATACCAATACAAAATTGTCATATTTTCACTTGGAGATTTCTCTTTGTAGGTCCCCCTTTTTTCCAGAAAGTGCCCTTTACGTTGGTGCCCCCTCCCCCACCTTGAAAGACTCTCCGTCACCCCTGGGGTCAGCAAAAGGATTACAACTGACGTCTAAGTGTAATTGTTTATTGGGGTACTCTGCATTTGTTCAGATATGTATTACTTTTTGCCCAAATTGTCATGATTAATGCCCTTTTCCTCTTCTCAAGGATCCTCGTTGGGTAAGGATTAGGATTAGGAGTACTTGTAGGTTTGGGCAGTGAGGTATGCGATATGTTAAATTGTTCAGAAATTCAATGATTTTTTTTCGTTGTTATTGTTATAGAGTCTTAAGGCTGTCAAATCTAAAACAAAATATTTCCGCCTGGCTATACTGTTCTTCGAGTCATTTCGTCAATTATGAATAGATGGCGCTGTTTCCTTTCCTCTTGCTCAAACATTGATTCAGTCTTTTCAGTGTTTCATTTTTCTTCAACAATGCTACTCCAATGGTCGCCATTGGGTTGAACATAGCTTTCTTTCGTTGGTTGCAACCGTTCAATCGATTGTGTGGGCAATAATTCAGGTGTCTTGCTTGAAATCGCCTCATTTAATAATTTATTTATTATTATTTATTTTTGTAATATTTTGTTTAGTAGTGCTGACTGGGTTAAAGACAATAAAGATAACCGGGTCTACGGTCCGGGTGTAGAGTTTGTCTCTGACGAAGATAACATTTATAAAGTTCAAAATTATAACTTTAAGAAGCCCCATGGGCGAAATCTAGTTTATCCTTAACGTTTCAACATAATTCTTTACCCTGCCTAATATCGAGTGTTTATGTATACAGTGGGAAATCGTTTTCACGAGGTGCTAGGGACCAAGAAAATTATCATGTAATATCAGGAATCTAGTTATATTATAAGAATATAAAGAGCTGGGACCAACACAAATCAGCTTCTTATAACAAATATATTAATATATCAGAGCTCTTTACACTGAGGTTTTCACTCTATATTATAAATGTGTGTTTTGTGTACATGTTAACGTGTATACTTTATTATCTTTTTTAAAATGTTTTTTTTATTTCTCCAAATGTGCAATATAAATAATAACATACATTTGAATGAAATAAACGTTTCCAATATTGATCGTTTGTACATGGAAATAATGAAACAAAATCTTATTTGCAGTATATATAAATTAGCAACAGAGTAAATATATAAGTACCTAAACATAATATATCTGTCAATTGTAAATGTTATTCAAAAAAAATTAAACAAACCTGGAAGTAATTTTACTGGAACAATGCCTGCTCCTCCCTGCCCCCTCCCTCACACAAACATACTCACCCACCCACACACATACTCACTCACACACCCACACAAACATACACTCTACTCACTCGGTGGATGTTGTTGAACATTCTCAACTCAAGAAAAATATACTAAATAAGTATGTTAACCAGGCCGCAAAAACACTTTTAACAAGCTCACGGTGGAGAAGAAAACAAATCTTAATTAACACTAAGCTGCTCCCACTTTAAGAAATGTGATCCCAGCTTTCCCATTTTAATGGCTTTTTTCTTTTCTTCATCCCTATACTTAAAAATGCTTTTCTTAAAATTATACACACACCTACACGTTTATGGCGTCAACCGTGGGCCAAGTTTAGTACTTGTGTGTGTGTGCCTAGGTAATCGCAAGCAACCGCGGACCACTCCATAGAAAACTACATCAAACCGCGGACGTACCTCCTATGGGATGATCCAGGTAGCGAGCGCCTCTCCCGCAGTCATCAAAGGGGGCGCTGTGACATTTCGCGATACACATCGGACTGATCCAGTCGATGTTGCCTACACCCTGTGACATCTAATATTCAAACACCCCCTACGTCGTAAATTTGATACGGCGGAACCGGTATCGCAACCGTGGACGGTCCCCCATTGCAGGTACGTCCGCGGTTTGAGGTAGTTTTCTATGGAGTGGTCCGCGGTTGCTGGCGTTTACCTACGCACGCACACACACATTAACTCATAGCCTGCCATGAGGCTGCATGCAAGCTACCTATTGAGTGCCATGTGCGTGCGTGCACACTTTCGTAGTAGCGGTTATTGTTCATGCTCATTGGGCTGTGCTGTGTGTTTTGCACTCGCCATTCATAGAACCATCGCGTTAATCAGATTATCTCAAAAACAACCTGGCACAATGGGGATTAGCCCTGTGGCACGATAAGAGTTAAGGATATAGTCATGCGTCATTTGAAGACAAATAGGAAGGTAAAAAAAAGTCAAAAAATAAAACAACGGTAGGAGATACAAATATTAAATGACAAGATTTATTCAAAACAAATACATCCTTCCAAAAAATTGAAAAAGGCACAGCTACTTACTTTAGAAAGTTTATGTACATTATGGTGACACTCTAAAGAGTAGGAAAGTATTTACAGCGATTCAAGGACTCTGACCTACTTATCTACTCTCTGTTAGGAAAGCTATTATTCAATAGGCCATTTTCGTAATACCATTGCATTTAATGCACACATCTTTGTTAAAGGCCTCGTTGAAAATTATTTCATTTCCCTGTTACAAATAATTGTATTCCGATAGTCAAGATGAGAAGTGCATACATTCCGTCGTGTTAGGTAGGACTAGCCATAATGTTTGTGCATTAAATTTGATGACATTATGAAAATGGCCCATTGAAGCAATTTAAAACTTAAAGAGGCAATCGAACCCTTGAAATAACATCATTGGTATTGAACCGGAAGTGTCCGACTAAGTAAGGGACAGCGCTTGGATAATGGCACAGACTGGAGAACCGAGCTTACCCTGCATCAGGCGCGTACGTAGGATTTTTTCAAGGAGGGGGGGGGGGCGGGGGAGGGGGATTTTAATATTTGAAAATTACGCCGAAAATTTCGCAACGACTCAGCCAGCCGCTGAATAAGCGTGGGGGTAAGAGGATATATTTTGTGTTTGTGTGTGTGTCCCAAAATTTGAAAATTTGGCCGACCGGCCGGGGAGGGGGGGGGGGGGGGGGGGGGGGGAGGGTCGGCTTTTTTGTGGATCACCCAATATTTATTTTTTTCGCAACGACTCAGCCAGCCGCTGAATAAGCGGGGGGGGGGGCGGGGGTTCCGAGTACATTTTTATTTTATTTTTGTTGTCCCATAATTTGAACATTTGGCCGATCGGTCTTTGGGCGGGGGTATGGTCGGCTTTTTGGGGTCACCCATTACCACTTTTTTTTCCTTTTTTTTACTAAGATTAGTACGCGCCTGCCCTGCATATTGTATGCAAGTTTGAAGTTTATTCTGTAACTCCTTTCAAAATCATTCAATGAATAATAAAAACATACAGATAATCAATTTTATTTAGTTCAACGAAATTCAAAGTTACATTTCTTGTTTCATCATAAATAAATATGACCTCATTAGAATACAATTGTCTCGTGTGATTTTTTTAGCATAAGTTATTGATCTTTTCATAAGAAAATGTTTCATCTGAATAATAACATGCTACAATTGATAAAGCTGCTTGAATACGTAATTTCTTTTTTCAATAATCTAAAACCCCATTTGGTTCACTTGTAACCTGAAGTATCGGAAAAAACGTAAGTTGAAAATTAATGACACATGAAAATAATTAAAACGTCCATGTGTATTACATGTCATTGTTCTAGTGCTATGCTATCCTCAAGGTAGATCTCTCCAATCTGCCTTGCATTGATTTCACAAAATAATATATGGCCTCATATAAACATGCATATTTGTTATGTCGATCTATTACTCCTAGAATTGAATTCCAAAATCTTTTTGTGTAGTATTTGAACGAAATTGAATCATTATCAAAAACATGCTCCCGAATGGACAATTCACATTTAAAATCCTCTAAAATGCACGTCACTTCATGTTTATTATTTCAGTTTGCATATTCTCAGTTTTCTATTTCCTGTAAAAGGCAATTACAAACCTCGTATCCTAAAAGCCGGGGTAAACAGTATTAATACGGATGAGGCTACTCTGAGCAAATACTACTTTAAAATTACTGTTATTATTATTAGTGTTGTTTTGTTTGTTGTTATCATTATTGTGATCATTATCATTGTTGTAGCTTTAAACAAATACCACTATTTTAATCAGATACATTAAGTTAAATCAAACGGACTTTGCCTTGCATTCTGAGCAAAGTAAATATAATAAATGCATTCACATCGCAGCTTGAAAAGCTGAACTGCCTTTTACCTGTACATTCGCTCAAACCTTATTAAGGCTCTAGATCTATAAATATATATATATATATATTATCTTATCTGACATAACAAAAAGTGTTTTTCTTTAAATACATCTTTGGCCAATTATTTACAGCTTTATCATCAAAACAAAAACGGGAAAACAAAATCTTATTCGTTTTCTATCCGTACAAGGAAATTTCATTTGTCATGTTCACTTAGTGATATTTTAAAATCGAATAAATATCAATAATCAATTTATCAATTATCGAAATTGCAATACCATTATTTTCTGTTCAACATTATTAAACAATTCATTGATTCATGATATTCAGTAAGCAATATAACAGTGTAAATATTTACAATGCAACCTCATCAAATAACATCTTGGCATAAACTACATTTACAGAAAAACCCTTAATTTTACTCACCGGTCGACACCAGCTACACTGTGCTAAATCTACATGCATGAATACTACAGTCCAACTCTCATGTAGCAAAGGACATTCATTAGGATATATACTTATTTTTGGGCAATACCGGTACAAAAGTCTTAGCAGTTACATTTAAACAAAACTTTCTTTAAAATATTGACTTTTACAAAATGACATCTAATCAGTAGGAGGTAAAGCTTGCGCTCAATTCAATTTTACAATGTTATACATGTAGCTGGCATAATCAATTACAAAATAGTTACATTTGCCTAAAACAGACACACAATACATTCAAATTGCATAGTACTTCAATTGTTTTGTATTAACAATAACAGATTGTAAATTGCTAAACATTATCAATAGCATTAAAACTGAAAGATACAAGTATCAGCCTATCAGATGCAGTAAAAGGCATGATTCGATGGCCTATACAATTACACCAGTAAACAAGTCACAAGTAATTCGTACTATGTGTTTATCTTAGTAAATAATCTAAAGTGGTAACATGATATTTATGATAAACAGTTTAATAAAGTATAATCACCATTAACACATTAACGTACTTCAAATAAAAATATGAATCAAAATTCTGTTTTTGCTGCACATATAGTTCTTAAAGAGCCTTTTTATTTGCTTTGTACACTAATTGTCAGATGGCAGGCATAAGGTTCAATAATACGCAAACAGCGGTCTTTAACTTACCAGGCGTGGAAGAAGAAAAGAAATCTCACAATTTCTTCTGCAGCAAACAAATGAACAGTCACCTTCACTGTCAACAACACAGTGTAATTAGATGTTCTATCTTAGTTTGCTCTTATTTATACTTGGATCTAAGACCACCGGCCCTAGACTCAACAAGAACCTGGTCCAGGTCTCTCAGGGTCCTATGGGATTCTGTCTTCCACAGCTGTAGAAGGTGCATGTATGTATCTGGATAGTCATTTATCTTCTGCGTTAGGATCCCTTGTGCAATACTTGGTTTGATCCCCAGAGTAAGGTGCAGAGCGGAGAAATGATCCGGAAGGAGTTCCTGTGAGATTCTTAGCAAATGCATATCTGTTACTTCCGGTGAATCGGTAGGCCTGAGATTAAAGGAGAGACAAAGATTTAGTTTGTGATGAAAACACTAATATGTAGGCCTACAGCTGGTTATGGCAAAAAGTTTGTCAATGATAATAATTAATTGATTAGACAAATGTAACGGTGGCCAATTTACAACCTGTCTAAACTTGGCGAAAGTGTTAAATAAGCTTTACATGTAGAGCATAATTATGTTACAAACAATATATAGGCTTCAGTATTTAATATATTGTTATAATATTATAACCAAACCTATGAATTGTCTCACGAAGCCCCTTTTAAACTCTTTGAACCAATCAAATTAGTGATCATCTAAAAAGACTGTCACTTACTTAATTGACAATGAAATGAAAAAGAAAATACCACTGCTCAAATAGATTGCCAAAGCCAAGAAAACTTAACTTCATGAAAATCCAAGTCGCACAACAGACCCAACTTAAAATCAGCGAAAGTGGTCAGAAATAAAGTACCGAAAAGTTCAGCACAGTAACGCCCAGGACAAAATCAGCAGCGGAATAAAACAATTCGAAATAAAATAAAATAAAAAGATAGACCTACTTTTGAGTTCCTTTTGCCCTTGGTGTCACCTGGTCTCCTATAGTAAGAAATGAAGAAAAAAAACGAATCACTGTTTCACGTTGGTGATTCCTTTTTCCTAAATATATTTTCAATCAAATACTGAATTCCATTGGTATTTCCAACTGTAATATTTTTCTGACACATTTTCTGGGGACGATTTTATAATTTGTTAACATTTTAAAATTTCTTGTATTTTTTTTTTCGAAACCTAATTCCTGTCGTTTAAACGTTTGAAACAGGTTATGAGATTAACATGTATACTACTAAATGTTGTTGTTCTTCTTCTTACTTCTCCTTCTTCCTTTCTTCGTTATAAAGCTGAAAGCTAAGCTAGGGGCCTACATTTAAATGTTTTTAAGCGATCAACACTTACCTGACAGATTCATCGGACAAATAATTTCCATCTTTGCGCTTTGTTCCAAGATGAACTGAACGAAGACTTTAGATTGGTCAGCGGCTGGAGTGTTAACGATGAACCGTACATTGACCTCAACTGATTTATGAAACAGAATTTCCTGTTGTGTCTGTTAAGAAAGACATAGAATAACGATTTTAGATACACATTAAATGTACCCATCATGTCATTTAATTAGATTTTATGTCCTAACGATTTGCCTAATATAAGATTATTTTTTCCTCTGCAAGGCTACAGTTTAAAGGTGTTACATGTGTCTCCATTAGACCCCGTAGGTATCATCCTATATACATCAAGTGTTTTTGATCCCCTGCTAAAATGATGGAGTAATCAAACGCACGCACACACACACACACACACCCACACACACATCTCTCGTCCCAACAAAACACGCACACACACTATCGTCGAGCGATGCTAAATAAAAAATATTATTATTATCATTATTCTATTGGTACGCGATATCAAATTAATACACCTTTAGTATGAAATGTTGCATATATTTGACAGAATACATAAACATTCATATAATATAATCGAGTAACTTTAATTGTAATGTAAATTTTTCATTCAACTGTTACGGTTAGAAAAATGGCATAACTACTTGTTTTCCCTCTCAAGTATACCCCCATCACAGTATTGAGAGAGGTGGGTGTGCTCCAAATAAGTTCCCTTCTATATAGAGATTGTGTGTGGGAGGGAACTAGTTACAGCTCCATGATTTAACATTTGATCGCGTACGTGTCCGCGTGTCACAACTATGTCTCTCAATACGCTGTGGAACTATCATACAGACCGACATCGCACCAACCAAACAAATACATTGCTCTGAATAGCCAACAAATCGATCAGTGAATTATGAGTTGGTTTGTCGTTGTAACTAAAGCATTTATATTAACTTGCCTTGGTGTATATTTCCTTGTCGTCTACCTGACAGGTTACTTTAAGATCACCAGAACGCCATGCCACAAAATACTCTTCTCCCTTTATCGGTGTCATGTATCCTGGTTCAGGCTGATTTTTGTATGATATAAAAAGAATATATATGTACAATGAAAAGAAGTTAGCCCAAACTTATACATAATATACAGCTTACACTTGACATAAGCAAGAAAATTACATGGCATTAAATTGAAAACAAAATTTAAAAAGGCAACATTGAGAACGGAAGAAGGATAACGTTTAAACACTTCATTTTTCATTTTGAGTTTTACCTTAAGATTTGTTTTTGAGGCCGTCATCCTAGTCAACCATCGCTTTTGATTGCGATCTCCTGCTTTTTTTCAACAGATAGTTTGGATAACACTTGAAATATATAATAATATGTTATAGAAATGTTAAGTTTTGTTACTATATGAACATATGTAAACTAAACGTTTTGACATGAAATTTGTATTATTTGTGAATTTCGTATTATTCGTTTATATGTTCTTTATCATTCAGTTATTATATTTGGAAAAGAGCACCAAAAAAAATGAAATGAAATAAACAAGAAGACAGAGAAAACAAACGACTGGGTAGCCCATTTTCAGCTGCACTGTAGAGCAGCTCGTCTTCCATGGGGACCAGAAAGAAAAACAAGAAGATGGAGGGGGGGGGGTGGTGCAATAAAACAGTTCCTAAAGTTCCTAAATACAAATTATTTCATTCACCCGTTAAGAATAATAGTATTTCAATAGTCAGAATGCAAACTGCACATATGAAGTGTTGCTAGGTATCGCAAGCCATCATGTTTGTCCAACCTGGCAACAACTAATTTATGCAGTTTGTATTATGTCTATTGAAACACTATTATTCTTATCAGGTGAATGAGATTTGTATCGATGCAAAATTGACTATTGCAAACGTTCCGTATTGTAGGACAAGACAGGAAAAGCTTCGATGTTTGTCCTTTCATCAAGTAATGTATGACATTTATATTCTGAATTTGAACTAAATCATTCCTAACAGGTGAATTCAATCACTTAAAGTGTGCGCATAACACTCCATTACAATATGAAAATGGTCTATTTGCCCTGCTCCAGCCCACGTTGCTAGTCATTTTGCGGTGAACCTCATATGCAGGCTCTGTTGTTCCGAACCAGTAACCTGGACGACAAGCTAATATTACATAAGTACTTTACTAGTCTTTAAATAAACTGGCCCGAATTCACAAAGGAGGTTTGTCGACAAACCTAGGTTTATGTGCGTCATATGACGCGTTTCGACGCGTTTTACAGACCAAGGTTTGTAAAAACGCATCGAAACGCGTTATATGATGCACATAAACCTAGGTTTGTCGACAAACCTCCTTTGTGAATTCCTGCCATTCTGTCACAATACCACTTCCCGTTCATACCTCCGCTTTCCCTTGGTTACTGTCTCTAATGCAGAGCCTCAACAGATGCTTAGTGCTCATAGGGCTCGGTTCGGGTACGAAAGGCGTACAGATGACACGCTTGCCCACGAATACCTTTGTGATGAAGGAAACAATCCACCATTCAGAGAAGTGAGAGATATAGAGGTCAAGGTCTCGCTCTCTAACATCACATCGAGGGTCACCATTGGCAGCAGCAATCAACGAAAAACTGTCGGAGCCTTTAAATTGAAAACAAAAGACATGCGTTATCGCAATTTGTTCTTGTTTGCAAAATCGAAAACAAAGCAAAGTAAATACAAATACAAATTTCAGAGAGCGCAGAGGCGACGGGGAGGGTGAGTAACCCATTTTTGTTAACCAACGATTATACGACAGATTACCCCAATGTATACCTCTTTAAAAGAAAAAAAAACGTAGTCATGTTTGAAGCAATGAGAAATTCGCTCAAGACGGTATCTCACAAAAAGAGTTAAAAACAAACCCCTTTATCGAAATTTATGATCTTGGATTGTTGTCATTTTGTTTGGGATAGAATGATCTACCCAATTTTCAAAAACAAATGACATTTTGTCAACTTGACGCTGAAATTGCAGCCCTTAGGTTTTGCGTTCTTTTTTATCAACCCTATATATTACAAACAAAACAAAAGAATCATAAACTTAGTATTGCTTTATAGTAGGTACATTTATGGGAAAAAGAATGGCGTCTGAGATGGCAGCAATTACGTTAAAAAAACTTTAAATAATAATACATCTATCTTACAGATGTTATTTCAGTGTCTTTACATTTAGGTTTGAAGGTTGGAAGCTGCCATTCATACTAAAAACTCTTCGTTGCATTTGGGGTCAACCCCAAACTGACCCGACAATTTTAAATAGTGTATTATATTTATGCTAATGAAGTACGCATAAATATATCGCTCAATGTTGCGATGGGTAATTGAACGATGATAATGCGTATTAACAAAGATTTGCATTTCACATCTAAATTAATCATTCCCCTTGTTAATTTAATGATTTTGTTTGTTTTTTATAACTTAACAATGAAAGGTGGTTAAAGAAGGGCCTTTGTTAAATACTTTTAGATGTAAATTTGTATATGTGACATTCTCTAGAAACATAACATGCAGGACGAGTCAATTTTTCACATACTACAGAAATTACAAAACTTGGTTATTATTAATTTAGTTATATTCTTACTGGTTTTTCGATGGTACGTCCCAATGGATGCAGTATCAGGACTTGTGAAAATTGCTGAATGGGGCATCGTCACTTTTACTGGATATTTAAACTTCGCATCAGACGGTGACGCCTTAAGACCAACGCAAATGATTGCTTGGTCCTCCGTTAACAAGTCTGCCAGTTCAGCTGGAACTTCAGGTACTGCCTGGATGTCTTCAACGCCCCAAATCTCACTTGGATGAAACTGGACTTCAATGCCATACTTCTCGATGCGTATCAAGCCTGCCTGCTGGTCGGATGCCCCCATGGAATCGTGAATAACATCTTCTACGACCTGTTCAGAAGATGCAGAGTCTAAGTTAAGCTGTTCCAGTTTTGAGGTGTGTACGTTTGCTTCGCTATCCACCTGTTTTTCGACACCCCCGCTTTCCTGTTTTGAACCAACGGCTGGATCTACAAAGAAACAACCAAATCAGGTGTTATATAGCACAGAATATACAGCAGAAACGGCAGTTTATTCATCTCATCTGTTCACTCACTGTAAACAAATGTGCACAGAGGCGGCGGCAGAGCGTTTTTCAAAAGTAGGGAGGGGAGGGGTTAACAAAAAAGGGGCCCTTTCTGGAAAAAGTGGCACCTACAAAGGGAAATATCAAAGCGACAATGTACCATTTTTAGAAATTGGTATATACCCCTACATTGTGATTACATTATCAGGAATGCTTTTAATATTTGTTTCTCTCTCTACAGTCTACATGGTCCAAGATGCTGCTTAAGCATCATACTTTGCAGTTGGTTGTGATGACAAGAGGGCACACAAAGAAACAACCAAATCAATTTTGAAAACATATATCAACAGGTTGATTTTACCCATGCCTTTTGTACACACTGCCTTACACTAAAATAAGAGGGCTCTGTATTCACTGCTCGTACGTAAATCGCTGTTTTCGAAGATATTGCTTGTTTTCGGTTTGCCGAAGTTGTGTCTGACTGATAAAATAAATAAGTAACTTATATATATGTGGTTGCCCAATTGCCCAATTCAGTCAATATTTAACGTGTATAGTACGTTAAGGTATATATGTGATTTCGTTATTGCCTTCTGATTTAATATTTTTCGAATAACAGAATCTTTATTATATAAATCCTATCATCTTATTGTATTATATACTTTTGTGTTTTATAATTTACACAGTTTTTTTGTCGCTGTTTTTTCGTTTTTTTTGAAAAATATGTTATAATTTTGTTATCCTATTTCCTCAATTAATAAATGAATAAATATTTTATAATTTTCCTATCATATGCATGTATTTCTTATCAGCTAAATGTCAATTATGTATCTCATTGTAATCAATCAATGTATAATTCATTTCAGTATGTTGTAAACTATTTTCATATGTATTGTTTAATGCTATTGTATGTGTTAAACTGTTGTATATTCAACTTGCTTTTTATTTATATGCAATGGACCTTGTGGCAGATTAGCCTTGTGCTAAACAAGTTATCCAATAAAGTCTACTACTACTAAGGTAACACATTACAATATAATGATTACATGAAAGATCGTAATATCCCTACGGACCCTGGGATCGTAATTTTCAAAGTTTATGTACTTTCTGAAGCACATTGTCAAGCATACAATGTTGTGTATGGTATGTGGTCCTCGTGGTCCCCCATGCAGTCCCTCCTTCACTCCTCTCTCTTTTATCTGTATGAAGCTGACATGTTTCATATTTCAAAATGTATTTCTCATCTGCTCTAGCTGTCCGTGGATTTCGACGGGTTTCATTAATTGCAATATAATACATTAATCATTAAAAAATAACGGCCTATATAGGACTATGATATTCTTTAAAGTAATGTTTAAGACCGCAAATGCCTTCAATGTACATAGTTATTGCTTTTACATTCTTATTTATGACATTTCTAGTGCCCTTTTAGAACCTAAAATTGCTCCGAAGGTAATTTTAGACCCCTAAATGTGTAAATTTAGATTTAATACGATCAATTCAGCTCCACTTTCCCAAAAAATATGGTAACCGTTAATTATTCATAATTAATCATAACAATACACGGGCCGGCTGGTTGTGCGTATTATAACCAGCACGAAAAGGCCAACAAAAAGCCGATATTGGCATTGGCTGGCATTGGCTCGTTTTTCGACGGCTGTGACAAAATAACCGAATATTTGTGGGGCACCGCAAATATTAGAAATGGTTATATTTATGAATATTTCAGCTGTCTCTGAACCGATTTTGATCAAACAAAGATGATTTTGTCATTTAAATGGTATATTCTTTCAAATTTGACACTTTATTTTGTGAAGCGCCCTCTGCAACAAAACTGACCTATCCCTTTAACAAAGAAGGTTGGTATTTGACTTTAATCTATCAGTGACTTATAGTCATCTCCCCTTAAATCTCCAATATCAACATCTGATTTAAATATTTTCTTAAAAGAATAATGATAATAATTAATTAGAAATAGGGAATGGCAGATAAATTTACAATTGTAACAGAGGCGGCGATCCCGGGAAACGGGAGGGGGAGGGCAAGTCCCCCCCCCCCCTCATTCATTCTAGGGGGATCACCCCCTCTCGGAAAGTTGAAAAATTGCTCCCCAAAAATGTAAAGCAAATAATAACTAAAGACTGCAACATTCTTTTTAGCTATAGAGAGCCCAAGAGTGCAGCGATTAGACTTATACAAATGCAAAAATCTTCTCGCTCGGTCACTACCATCCTCGCAAATATCCTTAAACATGTACAAGTTAATATTGAGGAAATCTGTATTCCGTTGGTATTACCGTGATACCAACGGAAAACAGATTACCCCCGGTCATGAAAAGAAATCGCCGCCCCTGTACAGTACATTACCCGGGACGTACGACATACCAAACTTTAATTAATATAAAGTCAAAATGGAATGAGTTTTTTGCAGACAGTTTTGATTATACAGGACTTGGGAACGTCTGGCGAGCTCAATGAGAAGGATATAGCGCTGCCTGGATATTGAATACTGGGAAAATCAGGCTTTCTGACATGTCTATTCAGGAATGGATGCAGCTACGTGGTCAAATCGTATTTGCACGAACTCAAGGATATTTAAGAATACGTTTATGAAATGTACCTGCAGATATTATGTCATAAGGAGCAATAACTTTAAGTAAATTTAGATGTAAAACACATAAATTACCTGTTAAAGGTACTATGTCCCTTTTGCAGCCAACCTGAAATGCTGTAGAACTTTGCAGGAATTATGAATATGTCATGTATGTATTATCTGTGAAATTTAAACGTTAGCAGTGTCCTCATATTCAAATTATGCAAGGAAACCCGTTTACTTGCTAGACTTCACTGTCAGACACTATTGAGTGACTGACTGGCTTTTTTTCTTCTTTGGTAATAACATACATGAAAAGAGTTGCAAAGGGTACATGAGCATTTGTCTACATCAATAACCCACTTCTTGTGATGGCCAAGATTAAACTGATTAAATCTTTGCGCAGCATAAAACGTATTACCATTCGGTACAATTGTCTGAAAATCAAGACTATTACTTTTGGGCTCTATAGCCCTAAAGTCGATTTGACAACTAATAGTCGTTATTTTCCCACTTGAAGACATTTTCAAGCCTAACCTTTTGTAGGGAAGTTCTAATTTAGTATTATCTTACAAATGCAGTTGGAATTTAACTTTTTCATTTTTTGGCTTGCAAATGGGACATAGTACCTTTAATAAACGCAGATTTGATGCAAATGTAGTAGTACATGATTTGCAATGCCCACTTTATACATCAACCGATATTGGTGATGAATTTCATTATATTTGTATATGTCCATTCTTTCAAAATGAGAGAAAAATGTATATATTAAATAACTTGTGTAGTAGTAGCTCTAGATCAAGTGTATTGCAAATGGATAAGGTTTTTAATACAGTTCATGCTTGCCAGCTAAAGAAATTAGCAAAATTTGTTAGGATAATTAAAAGAGCCAAGTGTAGATGGTAATACTGTAAATGATAGCTCACAAGTAAGCAATGTTGTTAGGCAAACTTGTAGCGGTAGGAGGGTGAATTGCCCAGTTCGCCTTGATTTGTAAATATATATATTTGTTCATATTATCACATGTTTATCTTCTTTGTTATGGTTGAGAAACAAGAATCGGAAGAAAACAAAAACTCACCGAAGAGCCGTTCGCGTCAGGAGCGGATCTGGGTGGGGGGGGGGGGGGTAGGTGGTTTAAATCCACCCTTCGGCTGGTCAAGGTGCTTTCTACCCCCCCCCCCCCCTCCCGAAATATTGGTTGGCACTTTGTTCAAATGAAAAACAAAAATTAGTGCTCACTGCCCCCCCCCCCCCACCCCCGTATACCCCCCCCCCCCCCCGTAGCAAAAAGAGCTAGATCCGCCCCTGCGCGTTGAAAATCGTCATCCTTCGTTATTAAACGACGAAATTCCCATCACCAGCTTTGGTACAAGCTCGCTGATTTGCTGTTTATTCACTTGGGGCGTTATTGAGAACGCCCGTAGATTTGGCCAAAACCCGTTCCGGATTTCAGTACCTCAGCGGTAACCCTGCTGTTACTATAATAGCTTCACGATTTTGCACACGAACCGCACATTCTCTGTCCGCAATGAGCTTGCGAAATACCCCTAATGTGTTTCGAACTGGCAACAACTATATAATGTATGCAGTTTGGATTCTGTCTATTGAAATACTATTATTCTTATCAGGTGACTGAAATAGTTTGTAACGAGGCACTTCACAAAGACGTATGCATTAAATTTGGTTACATTACGAAAATTGCCAAATGGAATTGCAAATGCAATACCTCTGTACTATACGTACGCATTCACCGAAAAGCGAAACCGCGTATTGTATCAAGGGCGGCCTGTATGTGTGCGACGGCCGTAAACCTGGGTGCTCTGTGTCGTAGAAGGTCTGTCCGTTGCTGAGCGAAAACTCGCTATTGTTACTTATGGAGGGAGGACGATAAATACAGTACATTCTAGCAGCAGAGGATGGGGTAAGTTTGATTATAAAATCAAGTGATTCAAAGGAAGAAAAATCATCATTGGAATTTACAGTACAACGAGCTGTGGATCTACCACTCCGAGAAGATTTACGGCGTCAGTGAATAAAATCATAGTTAAGCAAGCATAACTTTAAATCAGCCAAAGTGTGACCATCCCTGTTACTATTCCCAGATAGCCATGACCCAGTTATGACTAATATATCAAGGTTATTGTCTAAAACTAAATCGGTAACTGCATGTGTTTTATTGGTCAAGGATCGTGCATTCCATAGGCCAAGTTGGAGACCAGTGGATGGCACCAGTGGCGGATCCAAGGGGGAGGCCTGCCCCTCCCCCTTTTTTTAACGTTAATTTTAGCTTTTTTTTGGAGATGGCCCCCCTCCCCCTGGCGGGGGGATGCAATTTTTCAAATTCTCGAGGACCAAAACAAAAAAAATTAGTGCTCACTACCCCCCCCCCCCCCACCCCTCCTCCCCCCCCACTGAGCAAAATATTGGCCGGCATGATTTTCATATTTCAGCACACTACATTTCAAATTGATTTCAAATTTGGGCCCCCACCCCTAAGAAATCCTGGATCCGCGCCTGGATGGCACAGAAATAGGTGCAAAGTATTGTGACCTTGGGACCCTACGATTACGTGGCTTACGTCCGCGATAAGTTTGACATCGGCGACCGATACCAAGCTCACAAACCCTGGTCCACACAGGCTGAGATAGCAGCTGGTAAGGCTGTCTCTTCAACTGATATAGAGCATTTAAATCATAGCAAATACGACTTGACGGTGCATAATCAGTATATTGAGATGTATGAACATGATCATGACCAAAGTTATGACCATCGAGATTCTGTGGTCCTGGGTTAGGCTCAATATCGCAAAAAAGTAAAGTACTCAATTGAAAACTTGCTGTAGTATTACTATAATACAATATTGGTCTACTACAGAACTTCAAACTGCTTTTAACAGGAATGTGTGGATTCACCCACCATTTCCTTACAACAAAAGACAGGTCAGAATCACTGTGAGCTCTGTAACAAGTGTAACACACAAGAGCACTTTCAAAAGTCTAACACCCTCCATTGTAACAGGAAAATACCTTAAGATGATTACAAAAAAGGAGTATGTGTGCACAACAGTTCATTCAGCTAGAATACAAAGATCACAGACTCAATGAAGTGTACAACAAGATATGCCAGAAAATGTACAGTAAAGTGAATGCAAATGGCAGAACATCAGAGTTCAGGGAATACAGAAACCAAGTACAAAAATGAAAACATAAGATACTCAACATTCAAACCAAATTACTCCTGGTAAGTTGACTAAGCTGATCCTTGACCAATACAAACTCACTTAGCAGCAACAAATAACAAAATCAAGCAATCTTTAAAGTGAAATTAAAGCAAAAACACAGAGCCTTAATGAGAGAGGCTTCCCCTATGGAGGTGCACACCAAAAAAAATCATTGTTCATATTGCCACATGTTTATCATTGTTATACTGTTGCTATATTGATACTATGATTAAATATGTTTGTACTAACATACCCCGAGAGGGGGTCGATAGAGTCAATCAATCTTACAATCAATCTTACCAATTGAACTTACCTTTATCAATTAACTGCGCGTGGAGAGGTGTGTGCCTCCAACCAATATCAGCCCTATTTAGATTTGCTTCTCGGTCAGTGAGAAACTGTACCACATCCTGGTGACCATTGAATGATGCCGCTTGGATAGGTGTCCTGCCACAATTACCAGTCGTATTTAGATCTGCTCCTTGGCCAATGAGAAACTGTACAACGTCGAGGTGACCATTGAATGATGCCGCATGGAGAGGTGTGCGCCCATCAAAACCAGCCCTATTCAGATCTGCTCCATGGCCAATGAGAACCTGTGCAACCTCGAGATGACCTTTGAGTGATGCCACTTCCAGAGGTGTGCTGCCATCTTTACCAGCCCTATTTAGATCTGCTCCTTGGCAAATGAGAAACTGTACAACATCAAGGTGACCATTGAATGATGCCCATTGGAGAGGTGTGTGACCTCCAATACCAGCCATATTTAGATCTGCTTTTTGGCCAATGAGAAACTTAACAACATCGAGGTGACCTTTGAGTGATGCCACTTCTAGAGGTGTGCTGCCATCCCGACCAACCCTATTTAGATCTGCTCCTTGGCCAATAAGAAATTGTACAACATTGAGGTGACCCTTAAATGATGCCGCTTGGAGAGGTGTGCGCCCACCAATACCAGCCCTATTTAGATCTGCTCCTTGGCCAATGAGAAATTGTACAACATCGAGATGACCTTTGAGTGATGCCGCTTCTAGAGGTGTGCTGCCATCGTTACCAGTCCTATTTAGATCTGCTTTTTGGCCAATTAGAACCTGTACAACATCGACGTGACCTTTGATTGATGCCACTTCTAGAGGTGTGTTGCCATCTCGACCAACCCTATTCAGATCTGCTCCTTGGCCAATAAGAAACTGTACAACATCAAGGTGGCCATTTAATGATGCCGCTTGGAGAGGCGTGCGCCCACCAATACCAGCCCTATTTAGATCTGTTTTTTTGCCAATGAGAAACTGTACAACATCGAGGTGACCTTTGAGTGATGCCGCTTCTAGAAGTGTGCTGCCATCATTACCAGTCCTACTTAGATCTGCTTTTTTGCCAATGAGAAACTGTAAAACATCAAGGTGACCATTGAATGATGCCGCGAAGAGAGGTGACCTGCCATCTTTATCCGCCGTTTTTAAATCTGCTCCTTGGCCAATGAGAAACTGTACAACATCGAGGTGACCATTGGATGATGCCACTTCTAGAGGTGTGCTGCCATCTCGACCAACTCTATTTAGATCTGCTCCTTGGCCAATGAGAAACTGTACAACATCGAGGTGACCATTGAATGATGCCCAATGGAGAGGTGTCAAGCCATCTTTATCCACACTATTTAGATCTTCTCCGTGGCCGATGAGAAACTGTACAACATCGAGGCGACCTTTGAGTGATGCCGCTTGGAGAGATGGCAAGCCATCTCTATCCACACTATTTAAATCTGCTCCTTGGCCAATGAGAAATTGTACAACATCGAGATGACCTTTGAGTGATGCCGCTTCTAGAGGTGTGCTGTCATCGTTACCAGTCCTATTTAGATCTGTTTTTTGGCAAATGAGAAACTGTACAACATCGAGGTGATTATTGAATGATGCCCATTGGAGAGGTGTAAAGCCATCTTTATCCACACTATTTAGATCTGCTCCGTGGCTAATAAGAAACTGTACAACATCGAGGTGACCTTTGAGTGATGCCGCTTGGAGAGGTGTGCGCCCGCCAATACAAGCCCTATTTAGATCTGCGTGTTGGCCAACGAGAAACTGTACAACTTTAAGGTGACCTTTGAATGATGCCGCGTAGAGAGATGTCCTGCCATCATTACCAGCCATATTTAGATCTGCTCCTTGGCAAATGAGAAACTGTACAACATCGAGGTGACCGTTGAATGATGCCGCGTAGATAGGTGTCCTGCCATCATTACCAGCCCTATTTATATCTGCTCCTTGGCCAATGAGAAACTCTACAACATCGAGATGACCATTTAAAGATGCCGCGTGTAGAAGTGTGCGCCCACCAATACCAGCCCTATTAAGATCAACTTGTTGGCCAATGAGAAACTGTACAACACTGAGTTGACCCTTGAATGATGCCATGTAGAGAGGTGTCCTGCCATCTTTATCTGCATTTTTAAGATCTGCTCCTTGGCCTATGAGAAACTTTACAATATCGAGTTGACCATTGAATGATGCTGCATAGAGAGGTGTCCAGCCATCCCTATCTGCCCTATTTAAATCTGCTCCTTGCCGAATGAGAAACTGTACAACATTGAGGTGACCTTTGAGTGATGCCGCGTGAAGAGGTGTCATGCCATCTTCATTCGCCGTTTTTAGATCCGCTCCTTGACCAATAAGAAACTGTACAACATCGAGGTGACCATACAAAGATGCCGTGTAGAGAGGTGTCCAGCCATCCTTATCCGCCCTATTCAGATCTGCTCCTCGGTCAATAATAACCTGTACATCCTCGAGGCGACCATTGGATGCTGCTGCATGGAGAGGTGTCCAATCATCATTTTCAGCCCTAGAAAGATCTGCTCTTTGAATCTTGTCCCCATCCATGATAAGAATCCAACTGATCTGAGTATCTGCCTGCAATATTTAGGGTATTATAACTAAACTATAGGCTATTTGATCTGCCAACTAGAACTGTATTACAGCCGATGAAGACATGAAGTTAGCGTCGCCTCTAACGACTCCAAGCAATGGGACGAAGATAGATAGATAGACTATACCGTGCCGCTTGTTATCTGCTCGGATTATTACGACTTGCATTCGTTTAATGCGCCTGCAAACTTCATTTAGATGGCGTAATTATTCTTGCCCACAAAGGAGATCACTTCTTCTCATTATACAGTCTATTAATCGTTCATATCAGCTGCATCGGTACGTTCCATTTCCGAATAAACACGACGGTCCTACATTCTCCTGTTAATGTCACTTATCCATCACCTCCTTTCGAATGTGTATAAGCGGGCTATACCTACAGATATGGCAATGTTATTTTTCCGAAATACAAAAAACAGCACTATCTCACGAAACTTGTATGACATAACGTTTAGTACAGGCTACAATGGACGCTGCTCTATTCCAGTAGCTGTATCATGGCCCTAACGCACTCAACCGTCTTTCGCGTGTGAATTATGCTAGTTGCCTCCTCAAAAAACATATATTGTAGAAATATAAATATGACCTAAATTTAGTTCTTGTTTCCTTTTTTTACTCCGCTCAATAGATAGTCGACAAAAGGCTAGCCTTTACAGGGTGACCCAATAAAAACGTACATGCATATTCCCATAAGGTGAGGAAGGAAGACATTTTATCGTGAAAAATATGATATCAAAATCTACAAATTCGATAGGGGTGGGGGTTTGTTTTAGGGAACATTTTGTGATCAATGCAATAATTCATAGGAGATCAAATTTCTCCAGTATCAATGACACACCATTTTAAACCATTAGCATGATGTTATGTCTGTGTTTAAATCATTAAAAACGCTTTAAAAATATTTTGGAAAGTTATTTTGTGTTCAATCTGATGTTTATTAGAGCTTGACCAAGGCTCGATCAAAGATAAAACCGTTTCAAAACTCATCAATGATACGCAATTTTCGCAAGAAGCACTACCAATGGATGTTTTTAACATTGTGGCAGAAAAATGCACCCCTAAAATACGACGTGTCTTGTAGATGTGTCTTGATCTATAGTTCGAGTTCCGTCGCGCGGCACTAATGTGCTTTGGCGAGTCATTATAATCTACGGTTGCCACTCCCCACCCAGGTGAAGTAAATGGTTACCCAGTGGGAAGAAATTCATTGAATGTTTCAGCACATTATCATGGGGACCTATGCGGCTACATATCATACAGCTAGGGTATACAAAAGGACACAAATATATATTATTACATTCTTACAACTTTTTTTTTTACAGATACCGGTAAAGATTGTCCTGAATTATCGAAAGTTTGTTTGTCCGTTTTTTTTTAATGTCACCCTGTCCTTTTAGGGGCAGCCAGTCGACTGGGACAGACAAGAGAATTACCAATGAAACACATATCAGTCTCTAAAGCACAACGCACATTACCCGATCCTACTGCGATCCGATTTCTAAAGATTAAGATCGCGTGCTTGATGTTGTTGAAATCCATTCAAAAGAAGAAAAGCAACCTCGGATTCAGAAGGACCTACTGGGTGCACGCCAAACAATCCTTTACAACAAATGAAACTTCTCCCAGGAAGCCTAACATAAAAAGGTAAATAGAATTGTAGAGACAATGAACAAATGAAAATAAAACATCATCGTTAATCGTGAGAATGATCAGTACTACCTCTCTCTCTCTCTACTAAATCCTGCGAACAGTGGAATCAATCAGGTAGAATCAATTGTTAAACGAATTTATCATGAGTCATGACAGATTAATTTCGTACTGCATATCATAGTCATATTGAAGAGCAGCAATGGTGCATAATTGTTGCTGAAATTCAGCAATTGTTGCTATGATTGCTTTTCCCTACAAATTGTCATGAGACATCAAGCTAGATAAAACTATGCACAACACAAATGATAGTGATTTTTCGATTTTATTTCTGCATTTTTTCCATATGTGTTTTGAGAACAGTGAGAAAGCATTAGAAATAGAATGAATAAAACATGAATGTGATCATGTAAATAATTAGGTGGTCTGTCAACGACAGATCACCTATTGTTTTCGTCAGAATTTTCTTTCTTCTTTATTTATTAGGTGGTCTGTCAACGACAGACCACCTATTGATTTCGTCAGAATTTTCTTTATTTATTATTATTATTATTATTATTATTTATTTTTATTTCTTCCCGTTTTTTGTTCCTAGGATAACTCAAGTTTGGTTTAGTCAATTTGATTCAATTTTGGCACAGTCATAGGCCATTATCATGAGACGTAACAGGAACATTTTTAAGGTCATTAGGTGATCGTGACGTCATCCAGGCGCCATTTTGTGAAATCACGTTATCCATCATATCTTCATGATGCATCAGCAAAGGTCATTCATATTCATGTCACATATACTTTAGGTCAAGGGTCAACAGGTCATGTCATCAAAGGTCACATAAAGGTCATGACGCGCGCGTATGTGCGCGTCAAAATTTAAAATTGCTCAAAATCACTAAACTATTAACTCTTTATGCGCCACTTAAAAAACCCCCCTGTGCCACATTCTTTTAGGGTCACACATTTCGAGGGAATCTTTATTGACTCTGCTGAATCAAGAGGCTATAACTCTTCACTGGATGATCATGATGAAAAATATTGTGCAGCAAAGTTGTAGACCGGAAAACGTGCTTTTCGATGAACCGTCATTTGTTATATTTTGAATTATCATTTTTATAATAATCATAATTATATAATGTTTAATTTTTCTTATTTACGGCAGTTTTTTATCCCTCTAGAATTTCTTATTTAGCAATGATAAGACATCTTCAAATCGAATCTATTAGAAAGGTGGACTTCTTACCTTTCTTTACATACCTTGCTCAAGTATTCTAACAATTCAGAAGGTTAGTATTTAGGTTGTTGAAGAAAAGAAGTTCAATAGGGAGAGACTTGAAAGTACCCCGCTCAGCCACCCTTGACAATGGGCTAATCTGCCCATTGAAATCCCTATTACCCCAGGTTATTGTCAATGTCCGGTTTAGCGGGGCATGAAAAGGGACGTCGTGGGGATGTTTTTCTTTGTTGTGCCATGATAAGTCAATAAGAAATAAGAGAATGTTATTGATTTTGCCCACTGGTATGAGCATGTAAAAATGGTATAGGCATAATATATTATATGTGATATACATGACATAATCAGCATCTTATTGAAATGTCTCATTATGAATGTTCACCGCATCTGTTCTCTCACCTTCTTTACCCCTCAATAAAATTGATTTCAAGTACATTTATCACAGCCATAGATATACAAAGAAAGAATGAATCAATCTTAAAATATAAACTATATTGCATTGTTTTCCATTTACTTTATTGTGAGAGAGCTTATTATCAGAAATGATTGACGAGTGGAGTATGCAATGAATAAAATATGGAGAACGGACGTGAGAGACATTATGAGAGAGAAATAGTGATATGAAATGAAAGGACTTTACTGTGAATAAAGATTATAAGAGAAAGAGATAAAGATGACGGCAAGACAGGATACATATTGATACGAAAATAACAATAATAATGAGATAGAGATGACGGAAAGAAAGAGAGTAAACACTGATAGCATAAGAATGAATAAAGATAATAAGAGAAAGATATAGAGATGACGGCAAGACATAGGGTACATATAGATAGGAAAATGATAATAATAATAAGATAGAGATGACGGAAAGAAAGAGAGTAAACACTGATAGCATAAGAATGAATAAAGATAATAAGAGAAAGATATAGAGATGACGGCAAGACATAGGGTACATATAGATAGGAAAATGATAATAATAAAAAGATAGAGATGACGGAAAGAAAGAGAGTAAACACTGATAGCACAAGAATGAATAAAGATAATAAGAGAAATATATAGAGATGACGGCAAGACATAGGATACATATTGATAGGAAAATAATAATAATAATAAGATAGAGATGACGGCAAGAAAGAGAGTAAACACTGATAGCATAAGAATGAATAAAGATAATAAGAGAAAGATATACAGATGACGGCAAGACATAGGGTACATATAGATAGGAAAATGATAATAATAATAAGATAGAGATGACGGCAAGAAAGAGAGTAAACACTGATAGCATAAGAATGAATAAAGATAATAAGAGAAAGATATAGAGATGACGGCAAGACATAGGGTACATAATTATAGATAGGAAAATGATAATAATAATAAGATAGAGATGACGGAAAGAAAGAGAGTAAACACTGATAGCATAAGAATGAATAAAGATAATAAGAGAAAGATATAGAGATGACGGCAAGACATAGGGTACATATAGATAGGAAAATGATAATAATAATGAGATAGAGATGACGGCAAGAAAGAGAGTATTACACTCATAGCATAATAATGAATAAAGATAATAAGAAAAAGATATACAGATGACGGCAAGACATAGGGTACATATAGATAGGAAAATGATAATAATAATAAGATAGAGATGACGGAAAGAAAGAGAGTAAACACTGATAGCATAAGAATGAATAAAGATAATAAAAGAAAGATATAAAGATGACGGCAAGACAGGATACATCTTTCTTTCATTAGTTTTATTCATTCTTATTCTATCACTGTCTACTCTCTTTCTTGCTGTCATCTCTAGCTCTTTCATTAATTTTTATTCATTCTTATTCTATCAGTCTACTCCCTTTCTTGCTGTCATCTCTATCTCTTTCTTTCATTATTTTTATTCATTCTTATTCTATCACTGTCTACTCTCTTTCTTGCTGTCATCTCTATCTCCTTCTTTCATTTTTTTTATTCATTCTTATTCTATCAGTCTACTCTCTTTCTTGCTGTCATCTCTAGCTCTTTCATTAATTTTTATTCATTCTTATTCTATCAGTCTACTCTCAGGGAACACTTTTATCACTAGAGTCTTCGTCACTGCTCGATTCGTCGGAATCAGAGTCCATGCTCCATGCTTCCATAGTAACAAGATCTCGAGCCTCCTCTACACTAAACACACGTTGACGTTTTCCAGCAGGTGCCATCGTAACATCAGTAAAAAAAATCCAAAGAAAACCGCTAAATACACGGTAATTTCGAATGTAACACTATGAAGAAAAACAGTTTACCGGAAAGTGTGCGATGTATACAATGTAAACAATAGTAAACGCAACGCGTGGCTACACACTGCGAGCGGTATTATGAATGTCTAATTGACTCGTATACATCTGTGCAAAAATGCGAAGTTGGCACGCCTACGTCCGTGCAAATCGGCGAACAAAGCAAACAAAGAGTTAAACGAGAGTACGAATCAGGTCATTTTAAGCATTTCAAAATTTTCCGTCCGTAAGTGTCCCCGCGCGCGGTGTGCGCGCTCACAGCGCGCGGAAAAGGTCAAATTCAAAATGTTTACATGATTTGGATTCCTCATAATGTAATTGACAATTTACATTAATTTCAGTCACTCTTCATAGGCCGTGAGCGTGCGTCAAAGTTCAAAATCCGCGCGTACTGCTATGGGCAATATAATGCAAATTTGATCAAAAACATGCCATTTTAAAAATCGAAATAGCTCTTCAGATAGTCCATTGACCCCCAATTTTTATATCATGGTTGGAGAAAGCATGAGTTGGAGATATGATTTCATACCATCCTGTTTCGTACAAAGTGAAATAAAGTCATCATATTGGCATCTAAACTCAAACAAATGTATTTTGTTGATGACGTCATTTTTGTCTTTGTTTATTTGAGATTATCTCACTTATCGGTGATCGATCTTCTCCCAGATTTTGATATGTTGTAGCTGAGATAATTCTCTATCAGAAATTTGTCATATATTATCATTAAGATGACGTCATCATAGTAACATATTCGATTAAAGGCGGCAATGCATAATTTGTCATATTTGCGTGTTATGTCTATGGGAGGTCACTTATTTCAAAACATGAATCTGCATGACAATGTGTTTTGACCAGTATCTCGGTTGTTATTCAACATTTTTCTCCTAAATTTTAGTATGTTGTCGCTGAGACTATATGTTATCTAAATCACCCCTCATTTTTCCGATAAGATGTCAGAATCACGCTCATGATCATGATCATCATTATCATAATGATGATAATCATCCTCATCAACATCATCATGATCATCATCATCATAATCATTACTATCAAGATCATCATCATCATTGTTTACATGTCTATATAACTTCTCCCTTTTTCAATATAGTAAATATTATAATCTATTATAAGACTTGAAGACAGACCACCTTATTCGTCTTCGTGACGAATTAAATTTCTAGTTTATTTATTTATTCTTTATTTTTAATTATTGTTCCCACTTTTTTGTTCCGACGATAACTCACGATCAGTTTAGTTAATTTCGTTCAATTTTGGCACAGTCATAGGTCATTATCATAAGACGTGACAGGAACATTTTCAAGGTCATCAAGTCTTCATGACGTCATCCAGGCGCCATTTTGTGTTTTTTTTGGTACTTTTTACTCATGATCATATCTTCATAACGGAAAGGCATTTCTCATTTATATTTATCATGATTAGGGTCAATATCCGTCCGGTCAGTTTCAGGTCAGAAAACGCGCGCGCATGCGTACGTCCGCGCGTTAGCGCGCGCGCAAAAAATAAAAATGCTTCAAATCGTCTCAAATTCATTTTGCATACGTTTTAGGCCATTTTAAGCATTTTGCAAAAAAATGCGCACACGCGCATGGGCGCGCGTTTTCGCGTGTCCTGGCATTTGGCAACATGAAATCGCCAATTTTTTTCCGTCATCATATCTGACACATTCTTTCAAGCATTTTGATACATTGTTCACCTTTTTCTGCCCATTAATAACGGAATGAGCGTCCGTTTAAGATAATGTCCGTGCGTGCGAGCTCTTGTAATACATAGCATATATGGGCAAAAACATCCAATTTCAAAAATCGAAATAGCTCTTCAGATAGTCCATTGACCCCCAATTTTTATATCATGGTTGGAAAAAGCATGAGTTGGAGATATGATTTCATACCACCCTGACTCGTACAAAGTGAAACAAAGTCTTAATATTGGCATCTAAACTCAAAAAAATGTATTTTGTTGATGACGTCATTTTTGTCTTTGTTTAATTGAGATTATCTCACGTATCAGTGATCGATTTTCACCCAGATTTTAATATGTTGTAGCTGAGATAATTTTCTATGAGAAATTTGTCCTATATTATCATTCAGATGACGTCATCATAGTAAAATATTCGATTAAAGGCGGCAATGCATAATTTGTCATATTTGCGTGTTATGTCTATGGGAGGTCACTTTTTTCAAAACATGACTCTGCATGACAATGTGTTTTGACCAGTATCTCGGTTATTATTCAACAGTTTTCTCCCAAATTTTAGTATGTTGTAGCTGAGACTATTTGCTATCTAAATATTTCCTCAATATTTTTAATCAGTTGTCAGGATCATGCTTTTGCTCATCATCATCATTAACTTTATCGTTTTTATCGTCATATAACATTATCATTATCATCATCATCATCACCTTTACTATCATGATCCTCACCATGTTCATCATGATCATCATTGTTTACATGTCTATATAACTCCTCCCATTCTCAAATCTATCATAAGACTTAGACAGACCACCTTATTCGTCTTCGTGACGAATTAAATTCTAGTTCTGTACAACTTCGAACTGACCACTGAATGATGCCGCATGGAGAGGTGTGCTGCCACCATTACCAGTCCTATTTAGACCTGCTCCTTGGCCAATAAGAAACTGTACAACATCGAGGTGACCATTGAATGATGCCACTTGGAGAGGTGTACGCCCCTTACTACCAGCCCTGTTTAGATCTGCTTGTTGGCCAATGAGAAACTGTACAACATCGCGGTGACTTTTGCGTGATGCCGCTTCTAGAGGTGTGCTGCCATTATTAACAGCCCTATTTAGATCTGCTTTTTGGCCAGTGAGAAACTTTACAACATCGAGGCGACCTTTGAGTGATGCCTCATGGAGAGGTGTCCTGCCACCATTACCAGCCCTATTTAGATCTGCCCCTTGGCCAATGAGAAACTGTACAACATCGATGTGACCATTTGATGATGCCGCATGGAGAGGTGTCCTACCACCATTACTAGCAATATTTAGATTTGCCCCTTGGCCAATGAGAAACTGTACAACATCGAGGTGACCATTGAATGATGCCGCATGGAGAGGTGTCCTGCCATCATCATCAGCCGTATTTACATCTACCTTTTGGCTAGTGAGAAACTGTACAACATCGAGGTGACCTTTGAGTGATGCCGCTTGGAGAGGTCTGCCGCCTTAATTACCAGCCCTATTTAGATCTGCTTTTTGGCCAATGAGAAACTGTACAACATTGAGGTGACCATTGGATGATGCCGCGTGGAGAGGTGTCCTGCCGTCATCACCAGCCCTATTTAGATCTGCTCCTTGGCCAATGAGAACCTGTACAACCTCGAGGTGACCATTGGATGCTGCTGCTTGGAGATGTGTCAAATCATCATTTTTAGCCTCAGAAAGGGCTGCTCTTTGGAACCTGTTCCAAGCCATGATAAGAATTCAACTGATCTGAGTGTTTACCTGTAATTATATACTATTATAACTGAAGTATAGGTTATTATTTTTATTGGCGAACTAGAACTTTATAACAGCTGAAGACATGAAGTTGTGGAAAAGCTGCGTCTCAGGGTTCATTTGTATTGTCACCCCCAATGGTTCCAAGCTATGGGACGAAGATAGATAGATGGGCTATACCGTGCTGCTTATTATTTGATCCCAGTATAACGGCTGGCAATGGTTTAATGAACCTATAAACTTCATTTGGACCGCGGGATTATTCTTGCCCTGAAAGGAGATCCCTTCTTCTAATTATATGTTTATTAATCGTTCATATCAGCTGCATAAGAACGTTCCTTTTCGACATGACCGTCTTCCAGTCTCCCATTAAAGTGCCATATCCTTAACCTTGCGTAGTCAAATCTCGAATGTGTACAGGCGGCCTAGGCCTACATGTTATTAATCCGAAACAAAAAAACCTAGCGCGATATCATAGGAAACTTGTATGATATAATGTTCGATACAGGCTACAATAATGCACGCAGCTCTATTCCCAGTTGTTGCAATATGAACCTAACGCACTCAACCGTCATCCGGAGGTGATTTATGCTAGCTGCTTCCTCAAAAATGTATATTGTAACAATGGAAATATGGCAGGAATTTGGTTTCTGTTTACTTTTTACTCGGCTCAATGAATAGACGATAATATGCTATACAGGGTGGCCTAATAACAAAAGTACTAGCATCAGATCCCATAACGTGAGGAAGAAGAATAATTATGTTCTTGTGGAAAATATGATACCAACATTTACCAATTTGTTAGAGGTTTTTTTTGTTTTAGAGAGCATTTTGTGATGCAATAATTCATAGGAGTTCAAGTTTGTCCAATTTCAAGGAAACAGCATTTAAAACCATATGTATTATTTAATGTCTGCGTTGAAATCATTAAAAACGCCTGTAAAAATATTGTTTAGAAAGTTGATATATGTTCAATCTGATGTTTATTACAGCTTGAGCAATGCTTGCATTAATTTCACTCTGATTGGGTTGAGCGCACGAGCATGTACATGCTTATGCTGCTCTCCAAGAAGGAGCTCCTAATTACTTGATTTTGCTGTATTTGATCTGTTGTACTATTACTATATGATTGTGTAAGTTACATGGCATCAGCTGGTCAAATTCCTTTTCATCTGGGACTATTCATCATTCTGTGCTGCTATGCCAGTGCTATTAACTTCATTGACTGCAGTGGACAGACCATTGTCCATCCTTTGGGTTGTCAACCTTTCACCAGGAAACATTTCCTTAAAACAAGGATCCCATACAGTGTTAACAGCAATGCCTCCTTCCAGTTGGAACTACTTCATGCCGGTGATGTCCACCCCAATCCCGGCCCAGACAAGCAACATGATGACACCCTACTTGCTACAAAACGTATTGTCAATCGGCCTGCTGCTGTCATCAAGTACACCCCAGCTGAACTCTGTCAGTGGAAAGATTTCACTGCACCTCTTCCAGTACATGTTTGTGAAACTATTGGATCATATGGGATTCAAAAGACGACGCGTAAGAAAACCAGACGGGGTAATCGAGGCGGAAGGAAAAAGAATAGTCTTCGACATGTAAGTCAAGCATCGATTAGAACTTCATCACTTTCAGATCGTCTTAAACTTTGTTCAATTAATGTACGCTCTGTTCGTAATAAAACAACTGTTATCCATGATTTTGTCTATGAAAGTAATGCAGATTTAGTCACACTAACAGAAACCTGGTTAACTGAGAGTGACACTGCAGTTCTACGAGAATTTGTTCCCTCTGGGTATCGCTTCCTTCACCATCCTAGGACTGGTCGCCGCGGTGGTGGAACTGGTCTTCTCTCCAAAGATTCCATCGATGCTCGTCAAGTTGCCGCTGGTCAAAAGGAATCATTTGAGTATGCTGAATATCATATTTCTTGTAAATCGTTTCGTCTTCATTTGATCAATGTATACAGACCACCATATTCAGAATCTCATCCCGTGTCTGTTTCACTGTTTCTTTCTCAATTCAATGATTATATTCAAGATCACCTTTTGTCCAATGGTCCATTACTAATTACTGGTGATTTTAATATTCGAGTTGATGTAATTTCATCTGAATCAAGGTCATTTAGAGACCTCCTCGAATCACTTTGTTGTACTCAATTTGTAAATTTGAGTACTCATTCACATGGTCATACCCTTGACCTACTTATTTGTCGCGAGTCTGATGATATAATTGTTGGCCAACTATGGCCATGTGATCACCTCTTATCTGATCATATTCCTGTTATGTGCCATCTCAATACATGTAAACCATTATTGGCTGACAAACTTGTGCCGTATCGCAAATACTCCCGTATTAATACTAGGATGTTTAGTACAGATCTTGCAGAAAGTACACTCTGTCAAAATGTACATGTACCCAGTAATATCTCCGATCTGGCTTCCTTGTATGATATCACACTCGGAAAGGTCTTAGATAAACATGCTCCTTTAGTTTCAAAACGAGTAGTTGCCCGTCCTCATGTGCCATGGTACACGGACGAGGTTAGAGCAGCAAAGAAGCAAAGAAGAAAAGCACAGAAACGATGGTCTAGAACACGATCTGATCACGATCTGAATGAGTACAAGAAAGCTCGCAATGCAGCATTGTATGTTTTGAACGCTGCTCACAGAACTTATCATAAAGACTTAGTTATATTTTTGTGATAGTAATACATGTATGTACAGCGCCATGAGCGTCAGAGCCTGGCGGATACCGGCGCTATATAAATATCCATATTATTATTATTATTATTATTATAACAAAGATGACTCAAAGGGCTTGTTCACTGTCATCAAATCTCTGCTTAATGTTTCAAACAAACAACCAGTGATGCCATGTAACATTGATAAAAAGATTTTTGTGAATGACTTAGGAAAATTCTTTAATGACAAGGTTCTAAACATTCACAGTGACATTCAAACTAGCATAGGTTTGATTGATAAAATTAATACTGATTCATCAAGTCTTGTTCCAGTACCTAATGGTATCAAGCTTGATAAGTTTAAACTTTTATCTGAACAGGAAGTAGGGAAACTTGTGATGAAGCTCAGCACGAAGTCTTGCTCTGCTGATCCGATTCCAACAAAGATTCTCTTGCAATATATTGATGTTATACTACCTGTGTTCACATCCATGATCAATGTCTCCTTGTCTACGGGCCACTTTCCTAAAGAATGGAAAGTAGCACTTGTTTCACCATTGTTGAAAAAACCAGGGCTTGATGTTGAATTTAGTAATCTTAGACCCATAAGTAACCTACAATATATTTCTAAATTGGTAGAAGGTGCAGCTACACAACAGATTTTACAGTTTCTTATTAACAGTAATTCACTCCTTCCATCCAATCAGTCTGCATATAGACAGTTTCACAGTACAGAAACGGCACTACTCAGGATCAAGAGTGATATTCTGATTGCAATGGACAGACAGAAAATCACTCTCCTGTTATTACTTGATTTAAGTAGTGCCTTTGACACTATTGAGCATTCCAGATTACTAGATACTTTGAAGATATCTTGAGGTATCGACGGTGTTGCTCTCGGCTCGATCGAGTCATATTTGTCTGATCGACATCAACAAGTTAAAATTGATGGCATCGTCTCTGACTCTTTCCAGGTGCCCTTTGGTGTGCCACAGGGCTCTCGGCTCGGCCCTTTGCTTTTTATGTTATACACGAGTAATCTAATCAAGAGCACTCAGGATATTTTTCCTGAAGTCTCCTGTCACTGTTATGCAGACGACACACAATTATTTTTATCCTTTAGACCATCCACTAGTACTCAAGATGCAAGTGTTTCAATGTTGGAAAAATGTGTTCATTTTATTCATAGATGGATGCTTAATAACAATCTTAAGCTAAACGATAGTAAGAGTGAATTTTGGTTATAGGAACTCCACAACAGATCTCAAAAATAAGCATTGACGGTGTAAGAGTTGGATCCTCCAATGTGATACCCTCTGTTACAGCAAGGAATTTAGGAGTATACGTTGATACTAATTTGAACATGGAAACACATGTTAAAAATATATGCAAATCAACATACTATCTTCTGTACAATCTCAGACGTATCCGCAAATATTTTGACCAATAAAGTATGAAATTGGTTGTACTGATTCTATGATAGCTAAGTTACAAAGAGTCCAACATGCATGTGCGAGACTTGTCTATCGTCGGTCGAAATTCACTTCAATCGCACCTCTTCTGAGAGAACTCCACTGGTTGCCGGTCCGTCAAAGAATCTCATTCAAAATATTGTTAATTGTCTATAAATCATTGAATGGTCAAGCCCCTAACTATATCACAGAGTTACTTCAACTCAAAGTCCAGTCACATAGTCGTAGCCTTCGCAGTTCCACAGATAAATTATTGTTTCAGATTCCCCATGGCAAAACTAAAGTAACTCTTGGGGACCGTGCTTTTGCTATTGCTGCCCCCAAATTATGGAATAGCTTGCCAATAGAAATACGAAGCACTCCATCTCTCAATGTTTTCAAATCCAATTAAAAAACTTATTTGTTCAACTGAGAGATCTTATTTTTATTTTTATTTTTTTTATTTTTTTATTTTTTATTTTTTTATTTTATTATTATTTTTTGTTGTTGTAGAATTTAGTAAAAGGGAGCTCGTAACCAGCGCAGCTGAATATATTTTGTATAAAAGCTGCGCTATATAAATTTATTATTATTATTATTATTATTATTATTATTCTGAATTCAACAATGATACGTAATATCAGCATGGAACACTGCCAGTGTATCTTTTTAATATTTTGCCAAAAATGCATCCCTAAAATACGAAATTTGGTTTGTAGAGGTGTCGTGGTATATTGAAGGATTTTATTGATAATTATCCATTCTCGCAGTCCAAAGACTGAATTGCAATGGTTACAAAAGTTTACAATGTATATACATGATAAAAGCAATTATAC